CCTGGTGAAACTGGAAAGGCCTCCGGGCCACCAGTAATTCTTCAATCATAAAAAAAAAAAAGAACTCATGTTTCAAGACGTGTGGCGATATTTAAGTTGTTCATGTCTATGGGCTCCGGTAGCTACTTAGCACCATATGGGCCGTGAGATGGTCCACCCATATAGACAATAACAAAAATAAACCGTAAAATAAGATAAATCAAATGTGAAGTCAGATGTGAAGCAGTGTTACAGAGAAATGTGAAAAATTTAATAACCTGAAAATCTGAGTATTATGGATAGATCATGGAACAACAAAAAGCTTAGGCTGCTCAGTTTTTAAGCAAAAAAGGGACGACGTATACCACAATGTTCAAGGATTTTACTGAAAATTTTTTGATACATAATTTTTTTCCATCGTAAAAATCATTTCCTTTCGTAAAAATGTAAGTGAAAGTTTTGGTTCATAACAATCCATGATTTGTTGTTACTGTCCTTGTTTTTTACGTAATATATGTATTTATGACATGCGTACGAGTGGTAGGAAAGAAAGTTGTCAAAACAATTTATTTGTTATCAGATTATGTTTGTGAATAAACAGAGGCCTTTGTGTACATACCATGTGATTAAGCAACTAAGTTATTTCTCATCAAGTCAATTTCATCCAACCTCAAGTGTTGTGAACAAAAAAAGTAACTTGTCGTATTTATTCAAGAGACAAATAACAGATATCTAACGTAATAGTATTTAGAAGTTAGTTAACCAAGTATAAAAGTAACTTTTAGTATACACAGTGGATGTGCTCCGCCTCTAAGTCTTGAAAAGCAAATTTTTTGGATTCTATTATAAAAATAACTCATAAAATATGAATATAAAAATTGCGTAGCCATTGTGCTCCCGTAGCCTTTTGATGTATAATTTCCGCGGGAATGTTATCATTATAATAATTTGTAGTATTTCAGTTTTTGTTGTATAAATGACAATTTAAGAGCATACGCTAGTAACGGACGATCTCGTTCTTTAGACTATAATCTATACTAATATTATAAAGAGGAAAGATTTGTTTGTTTGTTTGTTTCGAATAGGCTCCGAAACTACTGGACAGATTTGAAAAATTCTTTTTCCATTAGAAGCCGACATTGTCCCTGATGAACATAGGCTACTTTTTTAATTTTTGGAGTTTACTCCTTTAGAATCGATTTACATATATAGGCCCGGGGTATGAAAATTATGGGGACCAAAATCGTACTAGCATGTCACACGAAATGCGTTATGCGCCTGATTGGCTCCTGATTGCGTGATGCGTGCGCGCGCCAATCAGGAGCCAACGCGCGGCCGCGTTATCGCAGGTGACGCCGGGCTGCTGCGCCGGCAGTCCGCCACAAAGCCTCGTACTGATCGCGCGTTTCTCTCATTATTGTATTTTCATATATTTGTTAGTCGTTTGTTTTGTGTCTCGTTAATTTGTTAATAATCTGTAGTGTATCGTGTTGTCGTAATATAGAACTATTTCTCGTATTGTTTCGTTTAATTTTTTATATCCAGTAAACTCCAGTCGTGCGTCGGAGCGGACACACACACTTTTTTTTTTTTGTTTTGTTTCATATGTGTTTTAATGTTTCCGAAGCGAAGCGAGGGCGGGTCGCTAGTTGTTGATAAAGATATAAGTGCACATAGAAATCTAAAATTATCGTTCAGCGATTAACCGATCAGTATCTTCTAGTGTAGTCGTTGCTGTGGATCCTAGTAACAAAGAAGTTACAGAGGTAGAAAAGAGTGGCACACATCTGATGGGGAATAGTTTCCGACGGTTATAGACGTCAGCAATAACAAGGGCATAGTCAATGCGCTGCCTACCGCTAAACAATACGCTCCTGAAGCTTTGAAGTAAAACATGTCATATCGCTCAAAAAGCACCGTTGACGGGAGATAATTCTAGAGCCAGATAGAAAATATCTATTTAATTTTTTCTCGATTGTTGCCGAAGAACTAATGTATCGACGTCGTATGGTATGCTTTTGAATAAAATTGACGAGGCCAGAGAGTCAATCATCTCGTAAAAGGAGGCGGTGGAGCGAGAGAGGGAGAGGTGTTCCTTTTCTGCACTAATTCGCCGCCATAGAATCGAGGGCCCGAGGAAGTATTTCGCCTAGCTCCGACCCTTGTAGAAGACAGCTTTCCCGCGGTGAAGGTCATGGGGCGACCGCAAGGGGTTGAAGCCGCGCGCCGCGCTATTATCAACTTAGCGCTCGTCGCCGGTTTGAAGAGCTACCAGTTGGCAGTGTATCATTTCAACCAAACAGACTGGTTCTGATTCTGCAGGGTATTTTGAAACACCAGCGGTTTCGCCTGGGCGGCACAATTAGCCATGTGCCGATATGGCCGACGTAAAGTCATCCATTCGCCACGACAAATCCGCCGACCATGGGCCTAGAACAGAACTGCGCATTAAGTTGCAGTATTGACCGCCGAGCTCTGTCTCGGGTGGAGATTAGATGCTTTACTGACAGTTGTTACTGATACTGTTGGCTAAGCTTTGTAGCGCATCCAGTTGGTAGATACTGTAAGTTGTTTCTCTAGCTACAAAATTGGCAGCCCTATATACCCCGCTTACCCCCTCGACACCAAGACTTCAATAGGGGTTCGGCCCCCGGCCCAAAAAATAGCCTACATAAGACAAAGCTTTCTTGTTAATAAACTCACTATCAATTCCACAAACAAAGAAATGTAAAAATCACATATATTGATATTAACTTTTGAATTCAAATCCCACTACTACTACACTACTAACGTAATAAAAACATGAGAGTTGAATTTTAAAAAATAACGTTTTTGGGCAGGTATTCGCGGGGGTTCCGCCTCGTTTTCCCGGTAATGAGAAAAGACAAGGCAAATTTGTTTAATGGCTATACATACAACTTTACGACTTTATTTTTAATTAATTTTGGACAAAAGGACAATTTACATTAACTGAATGCATGCAGATAAGAGCAAACCAACAAAATTAGACTAAGTTAACCAGAGAAATGCATTAGAGTTTTCCTCCACTAAGACTTGAATGAATTGGGAATTGGTCCGTAGTAACACAGTAGCCTCAACTCGAAGTTCCATAATAATATGCAGTTTTAATGAAACTAATTCAAACTTTATTCATCTATTCACCGTAATTGCACTTGTCTGCGCTTTGTTCTCATAGATACAACAGCACATAGCACTCAACTAATGTGATTTCACTTCAAACTATTTTTAACTTTTCTCTAGAGTAAAATGTATTGTCATTTAAAGTAACTAATAGTTTATTGTTTATTTTAAGCGGTAGGCAGCGGCTTGTCTCTGCCCCTGGCATTGCTGAAGTCCATGAGCGACAGTAACCACTCATAATCAGGTGGGCCGAACGATCGTCTGCCTACAAGGGCAATAAAAAAAAAATTTAAAGCATTATAGTTAACAAATATCTTACTTTTCATTTTAAGTAACAAAATAAATAACTATTACATTAATCAAGTTGATATTTAAAGATTGAGGTTTCAATTGTATTCCAATCGACAATTATTTATGCCTTGATTTTGTCATTGCAAGCTTTCTTAGAAAGATTTAATTAGAGATAGTTTAGTTAGCATTAGACGTATTTATAATTTACCTTATTTTATTATACCTGTTTCTATTGTGAAGCAGTTATATGTTCCGGTTTGAAGTGTGAGATAGCCGTTACAATAGAAACTTGACCTCTTATAATATAGAGCTATGGGCTCAGGTAAACTCTTAACGCCGAGTGAGCGATGAGCTGTTCTATCTATGCTATAAAAGCAAACAATAAAACATTCCTTTATTTCCTTTAACAAAAGTTTCATACTAAACAGAAACAGAACAGTTAGGTGGCGGTGATTTAATTCTAAATACAAATAAATACGAACGTTCCGTCAACACGGCGTGGAAACTGCATCGCAGGCTGTACAAACAAACCGAAGAGCCTTATTCGATTTTCTTATTTATATAGTTCAGTCTTTTTAACGTTGGCTACAAAAACTTCAACAAAACCTAAATACGTTTCTCGGAATTCAGTTTACAAATCAAACATTAACTAATGCTGTGCTCAGCACTCAATTCTGGTAAAACCTCAATTAATCCGTCACTTCTTTAATCTTATTTTATCTTATACGTGATATTTAATCGCAACAGTTAATCAGTGTAATTACACCTATCTACCACTTCGATAAAGCGGCACGACATGAGAATCCTCTCATCGTAGCCGCCGGAAACTACAAAGCCGATCCTGCGGAACAAATGCTAAACAGTCGACGTCGCTCAAAACACGTCATTTCGGATCCTCCCGACCCACTAACGGTGCTTTTAGATACCCCAAGTACCAGTCATCGTTCTCGTCGAACCCGTCGCTTGCGACGAAGGACTCGGCGAGTAAATTAATCCACAGATACAGCCCACTAGGTTTCCCGCCGGACCTTCTCAGTGGGTCGCGTTTCCTATTCGGTGGTAGATTCTGCGAAGCACGGCTCTTGCTAAGGTTCGTGTTAGCAACATCGTCAGGTTTGAGCCCCGTGAGCTCACCTACTCTAGGTGAGGTTACACTAATATGGTATCTCTAGAGTCTAGACCATCAGCTTAGGGAGGCAAAAAAAACGCTCATCTATTTCCTACCTAATAATAACCGATTTCCGCTATCCGTCGACACCAGCAATGCTAAGAGCACAGCGAGGCTGCTAGCTTCTCAATGGAGAGTTATTATAGTTTAAGAAAAAATATACTTTTTAAGAAAATAAAAATAAAAAACAGTTTTTCGATAGGCAACGGCTTAGTTGGTAAGCAATGGCTTGGCCGTAGGCAGCGGCTTGGCTCTGCCCCTATCGTTGCTGATGTTCATATGCGACGATAACCGACCAAGGACAATAAAAAAATCTGCACTAATAGTTCTTAAAATTTACGAACATTTTTGACATAAAAAATTCATAGCATTCTCATTTGACTCTTCGACTTAATTTTTTACGGCTTGCTAAATAAATTACCTGTCTCTTGAAGCTGTGGAGGGCGTAGTCTTCCGTCTTCAGCGCGTCTCTCCATCTCAGTCAACACGTCTTAGATTTTCCAAGTCCATCATTAACTGCGATTTTCAGTAGCCAATTGCAATTTTCGCGTATAAATTTAGTGGTAAGTTTGTTCGGTCTCAGTAACATGAATATTTAAATGTCTTCATTAAATTAAATTGAATGCTTTCGTATTGATTATTTTGGATCGACGTAAGTCGAGGATTGGTATTATTTAGATTTTCGGTTTTGTGTTTGTAGTATTTACTATTCTTTATAATGAAGTGACAAAAAGGTATGACTTCTTTGTCTATTTTTTACCTATTCTTTAGTGTTATAAAGTTGTAAAATGTTCACGATTTGGAAAATTGTGTTATAGTGACGTCTCAATTATATATTGTGATAATATATATCGAAATCAAGCAAAGTTCTAAAGCTCTACGTGTTACGTAGACATCCGTAGCAACTCTACGAACCGTAGCTGCATAGGTGTAGCAACAAAACGACTTATTTGTAAACCTAAGATAATTTGAATACAGGATGGCGGTGCTTTTAGAGCGCTCTTTATCTTTTTTTAGGGGTCTCCTTGGATTGTTTTGTTGATTTATGCAATAAATTCCGTTATTGGGTACGTACCCATGACCGAATGTCGAACAAATTTTGGTAAACTACTATAAACATTACAGAAAAATTTCACGGGTATTTTATAATTGATATGTTTTTGCGTTGTTTTTTTTTGTGTTCGTACTGTACGAACTTCTATTGAAATTACGCATGTGTTCGGATAATTCGGATTAACTGAGTCTTGTGCATTATTTATGTTTTTCTTGAAATTACATCATTATAACCTATAAGATAAAACGGCTGACGTACTCGTTTTAATAAATGTGACTATGTTGATGATCAAATACCGTTGGTACCAATTGATATTTTTTTTTAACTTAATACGTCTTCACGATGGGCTTCCGCTATAAAATAATCTATTTAATTCTATAAGCACACAGACGTCCACTGGTGGACATAGGTTTCCCCCAAGCATCGCCACAAAGATCGGTCCAGCGCTGCTTGCATCCAGCAGATCCCCGCGAACCTCAATGGGTCGTCGGTCCATTTTGTGGGAGGCCAACCCACGCTACGTCTTCCGGTACCCTACCGGAAGATAAAATAATAATAAAGTGTAATTAAGCGCAAACCCACATAATTTATTAATCGCTGGTAGGGTAGCGATTTGGAAAACCGCACGGGTAGAGACCACTATGCAACCTATTTCTGTCGCGTAATTGTAAGGATAGAAAACAGAAAAAGAAATCTAAAAAATTACGATTGTGTCTTTAATCTTATATTTCGAGAAAGACATTCACGTTGTGAGTTCTACGGACTTCAGTTACCACTTAAAACCAGGGGAGCATAAAGGCCTCTATGAAAAACGAATGAAATTTCTATCATTCAGTCAAATAATTTGCCGGGTGTCCAAATTTACAAACACACGATCCAATATCGACCAAAGAGACCAATATATTCATGTTTTCATAAATAAAGATTATACGATTACCCTTCCACCTGAGACAGCTATATCGAAATTAGTTTACCAATTCCGAAAGCAAATGTATTCCTATGAAATGAAATTTCAAACAGTTTTTTTTTTTGCATAGGCTTAAACTTTCATATTATAAGAAATAGCTGTGAATTCTATTGTTCGATCAGTAATTCAAAAAATAAAAAACGTGAATTATAAGTAGCTATGACATCATATGAATAAATAAAACACTTGCGTGTCTATACAATTTGATAATAGTTTTAGAATAAACGCTTTTTTTTACGATAAATTGATTTTCAAATTTTTAGTTGGTATTGCTATAAAAGGGTTTTTATTAAATTTTTTACCTATTACTTTTTTCGAAGTAGATTAAAAAAGGTTGTTTTATAAAATAGTTCTAAATAATGCATAAATAAGTTCACCGCCTGTCAACTTCCATAAGAAAACACAAACTTCAAACGGGACATTTCCCACGACCAATGCTTTCGCGCCTCATGCGGTATTTAAGTGATACCGTTAAATCATGTTACCAAAAAGGTTAAACGTGAATAAATTTTAAAACATACAAAATTACCACTGTTTTTCATTTAAATAATAATATTTTTCATTAAAGATCGCATACCGCGTGCGATAGCGGAGCGCTCGTCGGAGTGGCGCGTACCGCGACTGACCGAGTACTGAACACTGAGCAAAGTACTGACGGCAACTGAATACTGCTAAGCAATGAGCGTTGGTCACACTGAAAGCGAAAATCCTCGCTTATGTAAGCCTCTGCGCCAAGTATCGACATGCTCCCGACATCAGAATAACCTTGGACAACCACATGTTGATAGCAGAGTAGTTCAATGGTTTCAAATATTCATAAGGATTTCTTTGTTAAAAATTTGAGTTTGCTTAACCATACAATAATAAATTAAATTATTCTGAAAGGGTACTAATACACAAACTGAGAATCAGTCTCAGGTTTTTTTTGAAGCTTTGAATCAGTGCACCACTTGTCTTAAAATAACTGTGAATCGGTTTAATATCGCATTTTTTATTGTTATTTATATTATTTCCGACTTTTTGAATATTTTACATTAGATTCTGTACCTACAGTTGTCGTAATCACCACAGACGACTGATGACATGATCTGACAGTCCACGTGGTATTAGTTACCAATCTATAGACATCACAAGGTGAATTTAGGCTACCAACCACCTTGAGACATAAGGTCCAAGCCTCAATTGTAGATATAGTATAACGACTGTCCCTCGCTTTTGAACGGGAACTCGTGTATCTATGTGTACGGGCTCACAAAAGCCTTGCCCTGCTATTCCAATAATGAATTTTCAAACCACATGATGTTAGCAGCTATCAGAGAACATATTTATAACTATGACTGTCCATCAAACGCCTTCACTTTTGAAACATGAGGTTGAATTCGAATACTTAAAAAGTTCAGTGATTTTTACACAGACGGCGGTGCCAACTTGTGGGACCTCACATCACGCTCTACCAAGCCAACGGATGGCAGAGACCTAATTTGAAAGACCCGATAATTAAGACACGGGAAAGTTCATGTAGGGATATAAAATGTTTTCAACAATCGAATGAGTAACATAAAATATTGTTATGGCTTGAACAAATTTAAATATACTCAAAATAAAATCTAATCTATATGATCTTGAGCATAAGAACGAATTTTAAGCTTTTGTTTAAGTTTATTTTTGTTTGATTTAGCGTCTTGGTATTCACGAAATTAACATAAAATATCTAATTATAGCTTGTTAAATTAAGACATGAGATCGATTTTCCACAAGTATGAAGACAAATCATTTCACTAAGTGATGACGTAAAGTTGTATACGCTAATACCGAAGAATTAGGACTGGGAGGTAACCTAAAAAACTTTGAAGCTCTTCCAAAAACACGGATACCTCCCGTTTTTCTCCTTATTCGTTCACTCGTGATACCGGTCGTGGTTGATGACCCTGCATTTTTTTTGGATGAAGCAGCCCCCGCTATGCGCATCCACTTGTTGCGGTCGGTCAACCTCTCTGGAACCTTGGACCATGGAAGTTTGTGTCGCAGCTTTGATGAGAAGGTCTATCCAATGCGTAAATGATTGACCGAATAACCACTTGCTCTCCACCTGGCCCTGTACAACGTGTCGTTCCTTGGAGTCTTTATTTCAAACAACGTCCGAAATATTTGAGTATATGCACAGTCGACGATAATGACTGCTCAATTTTCTTCAAACGAGGCTTGTGGAGAGTATTAAGCGGTAGATAGCGGCTTGGCTCCGCCCCTGGCATTGCTGAAGTCCATGGGCGACGGTAACCACTCACCATCAGGTATGTTCGTCTGCCTGCATACAAGCGCAATAAATAAATAAAAACAAAAAATAATGCTACCTGGATCGAGACGTTGGCCCTAAACGACATCCAACAGATGCAATCATTCACCGCTACTACCATATCTCGATGCATCGATTTTACGCGCCAGTCTTTGAGGCGAACCGTCTACGTTTCTGCGCCATAAAAAACCTTAAAACTAAGCGCATTAGGCGGACTTTGTGGGTGCAGAGAAAACTCTACTCGCCCAGGAGCCGGTTTAACGGACGTATATGAACACGTGCCAACAGCACAGACACTATCACGTAATAAGACCTCATGACGCAAGGCGAACAGCGGCCTTCACTTGTTGATGTCTATGGGCTCCGATGAGCACGGCACGGGAGATAGTCTGCTCATTTAATACAATATATAAATTATGAAGTAACTTCGATTTTACTAATTATTATTGTATAGGACGTAACGTAACTTTTTTTTTTATTGCTTAGATCGACGATAGACGAGCTCACAGCCCACCTGGTATTAAGTGGTAACTGGAGCCCATAGACATCTACAACGTAAATGCGCCACCCACCTTGAGATATAAGTTCTAAGGTCTCAAGTACAGTTACAACGGCTGCCCCACCCTTCAAACCGAAACGCATTACTGCTTCACAGCAGAAATAAGCAGAGCGGTGGTATCTACCCGTGCGGACTTACGAGAGGTCCTACCACTTATTATGATTAATTATTTAAATATCTGCTCACTAACGAAGTCTATCACCTAACACAGTGCATAGCCAGCTATCTTTGCAGCGCATCGAGCATTGTTTTAGAAACAAAACTTGTAGAACTTAACTACACCACGGTCTGTTCGCTAGGAGCACGGATCAATTTCGAGCCGTAATCAAATTTTAAACGGCTCGTAACATTATCAACGAGTACGTTGTTGTTTTTATATACATATTTTAGACGAAAAACTAAAAACCAACATTTGCTTAATTATCTACGTTTGACCCCAGAAATACGAACACCACAGTATGCGAACCATTTTCTATAAGTACGGTTTTGACTTACGCCTCGTAGAACATGCTACGGTGTAAGTAAAAGCAATCGTTTCTTGTTTGAAGGAACCGAGCATTATCAAACTACTGGCCGTACTCGCCCGTTTCGCTGGGGATTTAAAATTAACATTACTATTTATTGTCATTATTATTAGGGAGCTCAACACTCATATAAATATTAGCCTATCCATTAAGTACATGTATTTTCTACATGAATACCAAGTTTCAAGGCAATCGGATGCATGGTTTAGTAGTTATAACGGAACATCCGTAAAAACCACTGTAGATTTATATATAGGTATTAGTATGGATGAGAAACGTGCTAGTCATCGATCTTTACCGCAAAGGGAAGATGTTGGAAAGTTAAACGTAGACTTCTTGAAATATACGCTATAGCTATCGCTGGAAGATGTTCCCAGATTTCTGTTCTGTTTTTAAATAATTATAATTAACACTACACGAATAAATAATGCTTGTCACTTAAAATAGTTCAGAAAGCTTGCAGAAACAATGACCTTACACTTACTTAGCTTACGTAGTACTTCCTGCACTTGTCGTCGTGGCCTAAAGGACAAGACGTCCGGTGCATTCATCAAATACCTCTTTTTCTCATGAAATACGTAATTAACAAATGCTCACGATTGACTTCCACGGTGAAGGAATAGCATCGTGTAATAAAAATCAAACCCGCAAAATTATAATTTACGTAATTACTGGTGGTAGGACCTCTTGTGAGTCCCCGCGGGTAGGTACCACCATTTCTGCCGTGAAGCGGTTATTCGTTTCGATTTGAAGGGTGGGGCAGCCGTTGTAACTATACTGAGACCTTAGAACTTATATCTCAAGGTGGGTGGTGCATTTACGTTCTAGATATCTATGGGCTTCCGTAACCATTTAACACCAAGTGGGCTGTGAGCTCGTCCACCCATATAAGCAATAAAAATTAAACTTCTTCGTGCTTTGTTGTAGTTGTTTTTTCCAATCGCAATTGAAATATTGAAGTGAAAAAATCAAGATCTTGGAAGACAGATAAATCGAAATATTCACAAAATTTAGAAACTGTTATTAATGAACCATAATTCGCCCAAAAGAATTGATTCACTCTGATATCTTTTTTTTAATTGCTGGTGGTCCTGAGGCCTTACCAGTTTCCATGGGCGAACTTTTCGTCAAGTTTAACGAATATGATAACATACGCTTTGTCGCTGCTACCATTAAAAGTATTAGCCTCCAACTGAGAGGGGATCAGCGGGATCCTGCAGAACGTGGCAATGTTGTCGAAAGTTGACTACTATGTGAGTTGGATCAGGAGTGCAGTGCAGAAACGATAAGGGGATGATTGTGACGCATCGTTGCCGTGAGTGAGGTAGCGTCCTGACACTCTCACGGACACATTTGAGGGGCATTTTATATGTAGAAAATTCGAGAATTGGAAAAGTGGTCAAAAAGCCCACAAAACCACGCCCACAACAAAAGTGGCAGACGGCCAAGACGCAAGGCAGACGAGCTTACGACCCAATTTACTGGTGGTAGGACCTCTTGTGAGTCCGCATGGGTAGGTACCACCACCCTGCCTATTTCTGCCGTGAAGCAGTAATGCGTTTCAGTTTGAAGGGTGGGGCAGCCGTTGTAACTGTACTTGAGACCTTAGAAGTTATATCTCAAGGCAGGTGGCGCATTTACGTTGTAGATATCTATGGGCTCCAGTAACCAGTAACTGATCCATCAGGTTAAACTACTACTTTGGCGATTTCTGGCAATAGGAATTAACAATTGTTCTGATAGACCGGCTACTACCTATCCGTTAATCGGAACAGGTTATTACCCGACTTTTGGTAAGAATGTGCCCTTCACATCACCTCATCTGAATTTTTAACGTCATATTTGATTGCCACGTTCATTGAAGGATTCGTTCCCTTTGCCTTTTCAGGTACAAAAAACTAATTAAAAATCTATACCGTAAAATGGGGCGATTAGGGATTCAGAGGCGAATCGGGAAAAAACCGGGAAAATCTTTCGACGCTCAATATTAATATTATATTCGTTGCAAAATCTTCCATTTTTTAGTTTAATAGTAGAATGTTGAAAGTTTACAAAGCAACTCTGAGTATGCATGATAATAGCTGCTAACTTATAAAAAACCGCGTTTCAAATTAACTTCCTGTGGTGGTCATTATTTTAGTGCTAGAAACTTTGCTCTCTTTTATTTATTTGATAATAATAGAAGACGACTGTGATTTATAAACGTTATTTAGTGTTTGAACCATCATATATATTAAAGGTAAGTCTCAGTTGTTATTGGTTTTAATGTATTTTATAAAATAAAAATACATCAAGAAATCTGTTGTTTCTGGGGATATTGGGGACGTCTTAGATACAAATAACAACGAAAAAGGGGTCAATTGGGATGAGAATACGTAAAATGGAAACGACTTAAGTATAAATAGGTACAGGTTTGTAGGGTTGTCTATGTAGTTATAACAATATTTTTTAAATTTGTTGGTAAAAATTTGGTTTATTCATAATGTTTTTGTCTAAAACTTTTATTCAAAATTATCAATGTGTTATTTTATTATTTGGTAAATATTTATATTATCAGTTACGTATTGTTTTCTATTTTTAGATATGCCTCGCGTGTACGTATCAAAGAGTGCAAAACCTTATAAGAGATATGATCCCTTAATATTAAAAACAGCAATAGAAGCCTATGAAATTGGGAATAAGTCTTTAGTTGAAATAGCTAAGCAATTTAATATAAGTAAGTCGATTTTGCACAGACATGTAACAAGAACAATGAAATCTCAAGGTGGATAAAAATGTCTAAGTAATACATAATAAAACATTTAATATTTGTTCAGAGTGGGGATATTCATCTGATTAATCCATGGAATAACCGACACACCTAATCACTTAACCCAAATAAAAATATCAGCCCCTAAGTACTTACCAAGAACGAAGAAATATAAACCGTTTATAAGAAAGCCCACTCGTTCGAATTTAGGTGCTTACTCTCCCATATACAGAATCCTTTGGGACTACAATAATGTCCAAGGTAGCGTGGTCTCCGTCAATGTTCATTCGGAATTGTCCGATTGCGCTGAACTAATTTTAAGTGATGAAATAAATGTTTTTTTTAATTGTCTCACAACTTACAGGACAAATCTGTCGCGGATCATTTCCCAAGTAAATATAAATTAATCATAAGTAAATAAATGTAATCAAGTTTTAATTATATATATATTGTTGTTAATGCGCTGTCGATTGCACCTATAATTGAGGTGACATCTGCCATGTACTATCCGCGCGCGAGCTCCGAGGATTTTTAAGGAATGTTGACGTAATGAGCTAGTGTTGTAATTAGTCGATATTGCGCTATCGATACTAACACATCTTAATAAGCCTCCGTGCGAGTGTAAATTATAAAATAGTTTTATGAGGGTATTATGTACTTGAAAAAAAAAATACAATTGATCACGTATGAATTTCATTTACTGAACTGATTTTTATTGAACAAAATGAACGTGAAATCTTATTAATTACTCTCGCGATCAGATTAATCAGTAGTTGAAGAATTTGATGTACTCTCCTCACATACTTCAATAATAAATGATTCGACACGGTCCTCCATTAAGCCATCCTTTTGTCAGTAATATTCCTCTAATGCTAAGACATGTTTATTATGCTAGTGCTCGCCATTCCTTTTTCATCAAATTAAACAGCTATTTCAGCTATTTGTGCAAACAAAAACTATTTATATTAGAAATCACACGTAATTAACACTGCTATCGCATAATTAAAAACAACGAGTCGGTAAGCGTACTCTCACGTTAAGGTCAACACTAGTACTGGGAGAGTGCGGAGTATGAAGCGACGGTCAGGCGCGGTGCATGCCCGCCCGCTTCCTAAGCCCCCGAATCCTCGGAGCTCGCGCGCGGAGTATACTTTTGTCAGTTTTTCAATGTGTTTTATTGATGATCACTTTGTTGGTGTAACTAAATAAATTAATTAATTAAAACCAAGTAGTGCCACCCCTAGCAAATTTCTCATTTTGTCCCAATTAACCGCAATTTGCGGGTAAATAGGGATTACGCCTATTTTTGCTTTTTTGCTTAAGCTGGAATGCTAGTTGCATAGTTTTAAATTGGACAACAAAGATGCCCCCAAGACTCAATTATTTTGATTCTGATATAGCATTATATACATCAACAACTACCTTAAAATTGGTCATAAAGTTGGAATTTGTCCCTAATCGCCCCATTTTACCGGTACTAAGAAAAATAACGGTCATGGAGTTAATAAGTACCTACAACTAACTCTATGATAACGGTTAATATCCTGACCTAACCATAATTTATTATCTATGATCCTGACACCAATAGGTCAAAAAGAGGGACATAGCCAAAAAGCCAAAGAGCAAAGTTACGATTGCAACGATTGCCAATATTGCCATTCTCCATTATCACTAAGATAACAGAGCAGAAGAGTACATAAACAAGCAAATTATTTAAAACATACTTTAACATACTAACATGCGTTCGGATCTAAGAACCTAGGTACTCTTGAAGTTGTTTAAACATATTTAAAAACAATTAATGCACAAACAAAACTCACCAGACGTAACTCCGTACCATGGTATATTAATTAAGGTACATAAATTGTATTAAATAGATTGTGGATAATAAAAAAATACAAATAAAATGCTAATTCGTTAGTAAAAAATGAATTTCAACAATAAAAAACGTACTATTAATATTCACGAAATGCTTGAAAAAGGAAATAATTCTAGTAAGAAATTATACCCAGCAGCTACAAAAACCACTATGAAGTCAAAATATAAGTTTACTAATAAAAAATCAAGGCGCTGCAGTAATGCGAGACCCTTGCCGTCTCTTGTCGATTTAGAGCGAATGTTCGAAGATTCTAATGATAATTCAATAGATATCAATTCAAACACTTCTGCTGTTAATAATAATCAGAGTTCTCAAGACTTACAGTTACAATTTTCACCTACTGAATTTAAAGACATACCTAAATACCCAAACGCTCAAACTATTGAATCAACATATAAGGAAAGCTTGAATACCCAAGATTCCTTCTCTCAAACACAAGAACAAGCCAGTGGATTATATACAAAGTTCTCAAATGATAAATTATTTGAAATAAAAAAATCTACAGAATTTGTTTCGAACGAAAATGATTGTACCATTGACTTAACTGATGAAACGGATGAAATACCTTTTGATGAATGTAAAAGAATAAACCATATGGACTCAAAAGTCAAAATAAGTGCTGAAACACTTAACAAATCAAACAACAGTGAGCGTAATGAAGACGAAAATCATAGTGACTGCAGTGATAAAACAATTATTTATGATTATGGAACATGTCAGAAATTTTCACCTCTGCCAAGTACATCTACAGATATGGAAACAATTATGAAAAATGATGATAATTTGTCTAATAGTTTTATATGTGCTATAGAAACAAAACATTTGCCAGAAACAAATGATTCTTTTAACTATAGTGGTGTGCTGATTGAACTTAGTGACCACAAAAATGAAGTTGAGAAAGCAAAACCAATACTAATTGAGAATATAGATAGTACTGACAATGACATTCAAATTATTGATGAGGTTTTTATAATTGACGAAGACAAAACAAATATAGGTGAAAATGACAAAAAACAAAAGACTGAAGTTATAAAAAAAAAAAAAGTTAAGAATACGTATCTGCCAGCCAAAAATGACATAACTGTAATTATCGATGATGACAACGATTACTCCAATAATGTAATAACAACATTACAACCTCAAGAAGAATGTGAATGTGTTGAAATTATATGTGAAAATTCAAACTTAAAAGATGTTAGACCAGAAAGATTTACGTCTAAGATCACTAATACAAAGACAAATAATCAGTTCATTGAAGTGTCGGACGATTCAGATGTAATTAGCATTTTGCTAGATTTAAATCATTCACCAATACATACAAATTGTAGGACTATTTCTACAAATACATCTGTTGGGAATGTCAATTATTCAACTCAAAATAGTTCTGCAAATAATGCTATAGAATCCATTAATCTCACCAAAGAATCCTTAAATTTGAACAATAAAGTATCAAACAGTAGTAAAAGATTACTTGTAGAAACATCTATTTGTGAAGATTTAAATAAAATCCAAACTGAAAAACCTAGGACAGGTATAGGAGATTGCCCAATCTGTTTAGATTCTCTTTTAAATAATAACATAGTATCAACCATATGTGGTCATTTATTTTGTAAGAAATGTATAGATGCTGCTCTCAAACAAAGCAACAAAAGGTGTCCAACTTGCCGAAAATATCTTCGTAATAAACACTCTTATCATCCAATCTTTTTGTGATTATAAAAACATGTTCAAATAGTTCACTTACTTCCTTAACATATTGTATTAGCATAGATTATTTATCATTGACTTTTACATTAAAATCTTTAAAACTGGCACATACAGCCTGTGGTACCAACAGAGCTTGACTGGAATTAGAATTGATATGTGGGAAACAATTGTTAAAGTAAATTAGTCTAGTGGTATTAATCACAAGCAATGATAGGGGAAGTAGAAGATTACCAGGAGTTTTAACAGTCTTGTGATAGAATGCTTTATCTTTCCATTAGTTGAAAATTATTATATCATCTGATATATATTAATGTAAAATGATTAAAAACACAAAAGAAGTTATGCAATTATAATGTTTAAAGCATTTGTATACAACATCAGTTAACTAAAATAATATTACTGTCTTCGTACCTGTTATCATAGATTATACACTTAATATATTTGAGACCTGTTATGAAAGAAAAAACCAATGTTAAAAATAACTTTTTTTTTAACTGCTAATATTGCTTAAAGAACATAACTCTTACATTATTTGTAATCCAACAGTTTGTCAAAAAAATTAGAAAGTAGAATTTTATTGATATACATAATAAAGACCAGTATCATAAAAACTTGATTCTATACTTGCACTCTTTTTTAATAAATACTGACAGGAAATTTAATTTTGGTCATACTTTATTAATCACCAATTTAAATTAAAGTCTAAATAGAATAATAAATACAGCACTATGTACAAAGTTCTTCCAGTGTGGATGTATGTTTCAATTTCAGTCATTAACAAATAAACAAATTAGAAGTTAAGAATATGTTTGACACATATATCCTTGATATAATTCAATTGTAACAATTCTTGAAAACATAAAATACATTTTTGGATTATCATTCAACTTATTAAATATGAAATAATATTTAAAAACAAAACTGAATCTGAACTGAAATTGATCAGTTTTGTAAAGCTAAGCAATATAATATAATAGGTAATTGGTTTGGAACATTTTCTAAGTGATAATATAAACTTTTAATGCAAAAAAATATAAACACCTACATGTTACAAGTTAAATTAAACTACTTGAAATAAAATAAATTTTAAGTTATGGTTTTTCTTCAGTACTGCTACATGGATTTGTGTCACAATGTAGTCTTTCTATAGAATTCGACAACTGTTCCAAGCTTTTAACAAGCTGTTCCATTTTATCTCTAGATGCTGAATTTTCAAAATTATCTTCTGTGGGTTTATCTACATCAGCACACAAACGGAAATGCAACCTGGCTAAGTGCTCCTGTTGATCTCTTATGTTAATCATTTGTTCCATGCTACAACCTGATCCAAAAGCACTTAACTTTCCTGTGTGAAAATCATCTAATAGCTCAAGTAGTGCTTTCTCCATGTTCTTAACATCTGGGGTTTCTTTTGGTATGTTCTTGGGTCTATTGGTATAGTTCGAGCGCATAAAATCTCTTTGAAGACGTCTTTCATTTACGTACGACACCTTCGTGGATTCGTTTAGACTGTTACCAGTACTGGTGAGTACTTTTTCATGATTTTTTGATGTTAAACTTGCGGCTTCGCTTGATATCTTATTACTCGTGACAGGCGAAGTCGCACTTTGTGGTATCTTTTGTTCGTCATCTTCACCTTCATTCTGCATTAATTGTTGCGTTTCGTTTGCTTCTTCTAGATGTAAACTCATCTAGATATTTTTAATCTTAAAAATTCTAAACTTCCAAAACATGCTAATTATTATTGTATTTTCCATAGATAATACTTTAGTTTCAGTTTTTTTGCTGATTTGTCTCTTAGATACACAAGAGAGTTATTGCCCATACAGACGATTTTTTGTTATAGGTTGTAGTCTGTCGTAGATGTAAGTTGAAGTTGATAAAACAATTAAAATACCGCAAGTATTCGATAATATGACTTAAAGTAGCTCTCAATAAATTAGTAGGAATTTACTGTGGTGACTTTAATGAAACCGAAAAGCTTCACCTGTACCATTAAACCATTAAAACCCATTAAAATACCGCTAGTATACGAAGTTAAGTGATTTGAATGTAATTGTTGTAAACGAAATGAAGTGTGCTGAATGTAAAAATTCATTAAATTTTTGAGGCTTTCTCTGAAATTACACCAATGGACAGGTGCTATCACTAATTCAACGCATTTTGACGGACACTTTTAAATACAGAGATTGTGTCTTTACCTTTACCCTCCCCAATAGTATGATAATTATGTAGTCGCATTCCATTTTATTAACTACTACCTTTATTGGTAATTCATTTTTTAGTTTATTAAAAGCAAAGGTGTCACATCCTAAATTATATTTATATTTTCCTACTAGACGTTGACCGAGCTTAGCTCGGTTTTTTTATAAGTGGCTTAACAACGCCATCTGCTGAAATAGCTTTAGTGTTATTGTGTCTTTAAATCAGTTAGTTGAAATTATGAAAAATAGTATTATTATTCGCCAATAGATGCCGGGAAAATATCAATAAAGTTGATTATTGAAAACACGAATAAAACAACATTTTCTGAAAATAAATTGTAGCTAGATCGATTTATTGCCCCCGAAATCCCCTGTATACTAAATTTTATAAAAATCGTCGAAGCCGTTTCCGAGATTCAGATTATATAAATATACAAGAATTGCTCGTTTAAAGGTATAAGATAAGATAGAAGACCGAAAAAATATTTTTGAGAGACTTCAATGAGAATACGTTAAATCTGGATTTGGACCGTTGGTCTACTGAGCAGTTTCACTCTTCCCGTTGCTGGATAGCCGTCGGAGCACCGTGTTACCTAAGGAACGTGGATCTCCATGATGACTTGAAGCTTGACTGGGTCAGTAAGTATCTACAGTCGGCATAATTGCGCCACTTCGAGAAGGCGGCACAACATGAAAACCCTCTTTTCGTGGCCGCTGGGAATTACATATCCGATCCTGTAGACCGAACGGTAAACACTTGACGTCGCCCTAAACACATCATTACGGATCCTCCCGATCCATTAACGATGCCTTTAGGTACCACAAAAACCGGTCACTTTCCTCGTTGAACCCGGTGCTTGCGACGAAGGGCTCGAAGAGTGAATTAACATATAGACACAGCCCACTGAGTTTCTCGCCAGATCTTCTCAGTGGGTCGCGTTTCCGATCTAGTGGTAGATTCTGCGAAGCACTGCTCTTGCTAGGGCCAGTGCTAGCAACACACCTGGTTTGAGTCACGTGAGCTCACCTACACGTCAAGAAGAGGCTGAAATAGCCAAGGCCAATCTCAAGGCTATTAGCATAGGTAGGGGGAAAACCTCTTCCCTTTGTTGAATGAATAGGGAGTGTGAAATGGAATAAACTTCATTCCATTTCACATTCCCTATAATATTACCATACCACAACTTGTAAATGAAAACTGGAATCCAAATAATTTATTAAGTTCTAAAAGTAACCCATCATCTACGTTACATAGAAAATTTACGTTAACACAAACGCTAAAGGTAATATTGAACACTCTTAATTTACATTTATTAGGTAAATAAACCATGGAGCTAATAAGTCCCTACAACAATGAATACTAACAAATGTGCTCTATAATAACTGCATAGATAATACTCCAAACATAAATTAATGTCATAAGTATCAATGTATAATGTCATGATAATGAGATATGGGCTTAGATCCCCTTGCCTTTCCGTATAAGGAAAAATTGTGCCAAAAAATGTCTATGCTGTGCTGCTGTCACGTAATGTAGGTAGCTAATAAGCTAATCTGTGGCTGCTGTGAGTGAGTGAAAATACATCGGTTAAGGTCAGTAAATTTGTAATAATTCATATCTTTTATAAATACTATCAAGCAATGCATTGAAAAAACATGAAAGAGAATACTAATTTATAGCAGTAGAAAATTCTAATGATTTCGAATATTCAGCTCAATTTACGAGAAAGTAAAATTTCCGCCACCATTGTTATTTTTTTCTGGCCACATCCTCAATTTACTCGTGCACGTTTCGCCCCAAAACTGCAAAAACCGTATTCTATTTAGAAAGTAAGCTTGCCTTTACTGTCTGCGTTATTTGCAGGTTTACAATTCAACGAGATAACTGTTCAGAGTCCTGAATGCTTGGTCAGTTGACGATCAATTTGCATTGTGTATGCAATATTAAACAAGCGATAACTGTAATTCAGTGAAACAGAATGACTGAAAAAAAAAATTCACTAGATCCAGCATTGCGCTGTAGAATTCTACGATACCTGTATACTGGAAATGAGGTTCCCAAGTACTACCCTGGTTGCTGGGAAGCCCATAATTATTTTAAAATCGATAAACTAACTGCACTTAATGAAGCATTGACAAATGATCCAAACAATACTGAAGTCATAAACCTTATTGTAAAGGTGGGTAGTAAAAATGAAATTTTTTATTATTTAATTAGAAAAAATATGAGAGTATTATTAGATATCATATAATGTTAACATGTGTATTTTATTCAAATAAGAAAATTATTAAAATACAGGTTGCTAAAGATGGCATGTACACTCGTTTTGAACCAATTGCATTTGCTTTGGCCAAATGTCTCCTATTGGGAACTCCAACAATAAAGGAGGCTACATACAATGCTGCTGCAGAAATATGTGTTACCTCAGAACAGATGTTGTTATTCCAAAAATTCAGCAGGCTATTTAAAACAGGTAAACAGAAAACCAAAAAAATTATGTACACATTTTGATACATAGAATTAATTGATACATAAATATTTTAAGGTAGGGCCAGAACTTCGACAAACAAGGGACTTGATAATCCTGGTGATGTGGCAATGCAAAAGCGCCATCGCCCGAAACATGTCTTGTTGGATCCCCAGATCCACTCTCTGTGCTTTTAGGCCCCTCAAACACCAGTCGTGTTCGTCGAACTAGTTGATGATGATGAAATAACCCATAACCACAGACCACTGATTTCTTGCTGGATCTTCTCAGTGGCTTATCAGCCCACCTCGGGTTAATAGCTTGTTCACATTTGCTTTATTGTATTTGGTGGCAAGAGATTTCAGCTTTTCAATATTGGTCACTGTCCATAAGTATAATAATATTTTCCTTCGCCTGTGTAAAAAATTTTGATGTAAAATTTCTTAGTTTTGAACATCTCATAACATTTATTTTTGTTAGGTAATGGCCGTGGATGGTGTAAGAATGTAATCCAATGGTACACAAATAAAAAACCAATGGATCTCATTAAAGAAATTACTAGAGTCAGAGGTCGCTATGGACGTACTCATAAGACATTGCTGCGTAAATCACACATCAAAGTTCCGGAAAATGACTTTTGTAAGTTTCCAGTACACTATAATAAATCAGCAGTACTCTGCAAATCTATCCACAGGTGGTGTATACATTCTTTTCAAGTTTACATGTTGTCTGTGACTTAATGGATGAGATGTACATAACTGCGAGTCTAAAATTCCAAACCAAGTATCATATTTTTATTTTTATTGTTTGTTATTATTATTATTGTTTAAATTGATATATAAGTTCAAGCCCCAGCTGGTGCTAAGTCTATAGACAATTCAACATGAATTGCACTGCCCAGTTTCATACAAGAATATTTTTTTTATTGTAGCAGCTTTTCGACCCTTGAAACTGGAACACATTAATGTTTGCCAGCAGAATTATGGTACTTAATACTTAACTGGTTTCGCAAGACTGCCTACCAGTAATTATGCAAATAATATTTTTTATGGGTTTGATTATTATTATTTGATGTTATTTGTTCATCATGGAAGTCTTTCACATCAGTGAACACATTTTAAGTATCTATTTCATTAAAAAAAAATTAATTTGGCTGGTGCTGATGTTCGAATACATATCAACATAACTGTGGGATTTGAACACCAGCTTAGCCATTTGCACCAAGCATCTTTAGGTCACACATGTTACAGTTACTTCAAATTTACTGCCATTTTTTATCTTTGCTGAAGTAGTAATGCTACTGGTTCAAGTTTTCCCACCTAAGAAAACAAGCAAAATATAGTACAAATATTTCTGCTATGGATAGTTTTTTTTTATTTATTGCTTAGATGGGTGGACGAGCTCACAGCCCACCTGGTGTTAAGTGGTTACTAGAGCCATGCTAGTACATCCACAACGTAAATGCGCCACCCACCTTGAGATATAAGTTCTAAGGTCTCAGTATAGTTACAACAGCTGCCCCACCCTTCAAACCGAAACGCATTACTGTTTCACGGCAGAAATAGGCAGGTCGGTGGTACCCACCTGCGCGGACTCACAAGAAGTCCTACCACCGGTAATTACGCAAATTATAATTTTGCGGGTTTCATTTTTTATTACACGATGTTATTCCTTCACCGTGGAAGTCAATCGTGAACATTTGTTGAGTACGTATTTCATTAGAAAAATTGGTACCCGCCTGAGATTCGAACATCGGTGCATCGCTCAACACGAATGCATCGAACGTCTTATCCGTTAGGTGACGACGACGATAAAGGGGAAGGTTTGTTCAACACACTGTTTTTATGCTGTATGTATGAAAACCAATTTGATAAAAATATTTTCCGTAAGTTAAGGATATCCGAAATTAAAAGTATTACAGTATGTAAAACCATCTATTTTATTTATTTAGTGCGTGACGCCATTGTGAAGTATGCTATATTTGGTCTGAAACGTGCCAAGCAATTGATGGGCGACAAGCCAGGGACCAGTGAAATATTTGAATACATTCAAAAAGTAGAAGACCTACGCCACTGTGAAGATCCTCCAGCCGCTGCAGAGATGATTGTGAGGAATAAATTCGTCCTTGACCATATTCCTGGACATTTGCTGACAACTCAAGAGGTATAATTTCGAATCATTGAAATAAACATTGCAATACTTTAAACTTCTCATTTTAGTAACTCTTTAGTTTGTAATCCATAGGTGAGTGACACTGTTGAATGTAGTAATAAGACTGTCAGAACACCACAACTTTGTCATATCTACTTTGTGTAGTATATAAATCTATGGTGTTTGTGGTAAATGGTAGAAATCATCTTGATTAATCGAAAACAGTCATATTTATACATAATTTTACATTATATATCTTTATCTTTCAGAATAACCTGCATTCTATACTTTGTAACATTACAAAAATAAATATTGTCACAGGTATGGGAAGCTCTTTTACCTCACTTCACTCTACCGCAACTACTGCACCACCTCCAGCGTATGCACAATATGGCCTTCTTGAGCGGAACATCTACTTTGATTCCAAAATTGTTGACCCTACTGAACAACCAGGATTACATTCAGAGTTCTGATGTTACTCCGCTGCATGTGTACATCGCGAAATGTGACTACAGACTAAAAACTAGGTATGTTTTATAAAAAAATTAAACAAATTTCTCCAAAGTTTTAGTATGTTAATTTGCCAGTCCATGTTATATAAATTGTACCCAAAATTAAAATGACACAGTCATATATAAAATGTTACCTCTCCTATTACTATTCCTCTATTCCGTTTAATCAATACTGTTCTCACAGACCAATGAGACACGAAAAAGCAAAAGTAGCCGCTGAAAAAGAGCAACGCCGTCGCAGTCGGCAAATATATGACAGCAAAACTGGACTGTGGGAGTGGACAACAACTCGAAGACATCCCAAAGAACTAAAAAATTGGGGTCAGTATACTCAATACAGACTTGTTGTAACATCAGAGCCATAATTTCGGATCTACTTATTACAGTATTGTGTTGAGTTTTTTTGTTCTTGCTATCTTGTCCTATTGTTGACCTCGTACGATACTATTTTTTACATAATTGTTATAATTTTTTGAGTCGCTTGCGACGAAGGGCTCGATGAGTAAATTAACCCTCAGACACAGCCCACTGAGTTTCTCGCCGGATCTTCTCAGGGGGTCGCGTGGGTCCGATCAGGTGGTAGATTCTGCGAAGCACGGCTCTTGCTAGGGCTCGTGCTAGCAACGTTGTCAGGTTTGAGCCCCGTGAGCTCACCTACTAGTTAAGGTTCCGCTGAAATAGCCTCTCAAGGCTATCAGCTTAGGGAGGACAAACAAAAAAAAAAACAATGTTTCACTTGTAATTTTTTTATTTCTTTAATTTTAGGCATTGACAAGCCACCCAATCCGCTCGTGCTTGCATCGTTGAGTAAGCTTGTTGACCAAACCTGGTGTTTAACTCCACCTACAAAAAAGCGTTACTTGATCACTATGGATATGAGACACCATATGTTTAAAGGTAAGTTTTGTCATTACATTTTTTTTAGTATTTACGAAGTCCTAACTTGAAATATCAAATAGTCAAACAACCACGTTATTGCAAAAATACTATTGTTAGTACATGAGCATATTGAAGCTACTATGTAATATCAAAAGCTAACTTTCCTAACAAAAAACTAAATTTCGTAACTATGTTCCGTATGTCAAATAGATAAAATACACAAAGATATTAAAATTTAATAACGTGTTTAAAATACGAGAACTCGCCTTGGCATAATGATGATGTCTAATCAGCCACCCTGGTACCACCACCCTGTCTATTTCTGCCGTGAAGCAGTAATGCGTTTTGGTTTGAAGGGTGGGGCAGCCGTTGTAACTATACTGAGACCCTTAGAACTTGTATCTCAAGGTGGGTGGCGCATTTACATTGTAGACGCCTATGGGCTCCAATAACCACTTAACACCAGGTGGGCTGTGAGCTCGTCCACCCATCTAAGCAATAAAAAAAAAGAGCCTAATGGTAAAGCATTTAAATACAATAAAAAATGGGGTATTTAATGTGTTCAGGTCGTCATTTCTGCAAGAGTTACACAGTGCCAAAGAAGGGTAAATTGGCAGCTAATAAAGCCACTGCTCTGGGATCTGGTGACACCGACACAGAGAAAAAAAGCAAAAAGCATCTTCTTGCTGAATGCTTCTACAATAAGCATATAACTCCAGGACATGCAGGTACAGATTAACACTTTAATCATATTTTAGTTTTGCAAATTAGAGGAACAAAACAATTATAAATAAAAAAATAGCAGTTTTGAAATCATTTAATTAGTTCGAAAATCATGAAGGTATGTTTTAAAATATTGTTTATTTTATCTATAAAACAACTATATATCCATACCAAGCTTGAGATAGGTGAAATAAGTTGCAATTATAAATTTGATCATTTTATTTTTTTACAGCAATTGTCATGGCTCTGCAATTGTTAAAACGCGAGAAAGATGTAAAACTAGCCGTATTTTCAGAGGAAGGTATCGAATTTGTTTCAATCGAACGGAACTTTACGAACATGGAGGAAGCTGAATTCGTTCTCAGAGTAATTAATATCTTATAGTTTTATTATGAATTCGGTATGACAAATGGAAAAGTGGACTTCTAAACACATTACAGTTGTAAACTTTATCTTTGACAAATTAAGTCTAACTAGGCAATATCTATATATTAATACGTGAAGGAAATACTTTGTATCCCTTTTTACCCCTTTTTACGAAAATTGCGCGGACGGAGGAGTATGACATTTCCCACACTTATAGAGAATATAGAGAAGTGCAGAATGTTAATAGTTTATTAAATGATGCCTAAAAAATACATTAAATCAATAAAAAAAACATTACACACACTGCCATGTATTTGACGCACACACGCATGCATATTTTTTATTTATTGTCAAACTTTTGTTCTTGACGTCTGTGGTCAAATTGAGAATAGATTAGTCTACAAACTTACAATTTCAATTAATTATAGTCGAATTTCGACTACTGCGGGACCACCAGTTAACATTAAACAGCCAAATAAACTTTTATTTTCGCATTTTTTTCTCAGTGTAGATCCTAATGATTTCAATATTTTTAGAAAGCGAATCTCGGACGCGTCCAGCTAGACGCTCCTATTGAATGGGCCGCGAAGTCCAACGTTAAGTTCGACGTGTTCATCAACATGGTAGACCGCGTTACTCGGTACATGGAGCTGGACCAAAAGGACCGCGGCGGCCGGGGTCCGGGAGGACGGTTCGGGCCTCCGCCGTCGCCGGAGAAGAACCTCGTCGATCATTGCCCCGTGCGAGCGCTCCAACGCTACAGGAAGACCAGCGGCGTCAAGGATGCTAAGTGAGTATGGTCAACCAGGGTAAACATCCCTCCGCAACCTGTAGTTTAATGTAAACTAGATGATGACCGAGCTTTACTCGGTTTTTTTTTATAACGCCATCTTGTTGTTATTTGCTCTCAATTAAGAAAAATAGTATTATTATTCCCCAATAGATGTCAGGAAGAGTCATAAAGTTGATTATTGAAAACACGAAAAAAAACAACATTTGAACTGAAAATAAATCGTAGCTAGATCGATTTATCGCCCCCGAAATCCCCTGTATACTAAATTTTATGAAAATCGTTGGAGCCGTTTCCGAGATTCAGATTATTATATATACAAGAATAATTGCTCGTTTAAAAATATAAGATCTATACTGATATATAAATTTACAGTGGTTTTTACGGATGTTCCGTTATAACTGCTGAACCATGCATCCAATTGACCTGAAACTTGGTATCCACGTAGAAAATACATGTACTTAATGTATAGGCTTAGGAATATTTATATGAGTGTTGGACTCCCTACACCAGTTGCGGGGGCGTTAATGATGAAAATGTTTGTGGGGGTGAGAAATAATAATGTTAATTATAAATGCCCAGCGATGCGGGCGGGTACAGCTAGTGATTTATAGTAATGGAAGTTTCCATTAAAGTGTTGACTTGTTCCTGTTGCGTTCAAATATTGTTTATCCAATTGACTTGAAGCTTTGTACAGTTATTGTTAGTACTTTTTTACTTTTTATTTCATAGATGGGTGAACAAGCTCCAGCCCACATAGTATTGAGTACTAAAGCTCATAGATAACATCTCATGATTTTTTAATCCATTTTATTATGAGAAGAGATGAGTCCAAAATCTCAATTTTTTTGTAAAAGCGCTACGCATTGTGCTAATCCGAACGCATGACTGCATCGCAGCAGGAATAGGCAGAATACTTGCCCGTGCATGCAATTCTACCACCAGTAATTGCGCGAATTTAGATATTTTTCTTCAACGTTTATAACTTGATGTTATACCTGCATTGTGAAAGTCGGTCGTAAACACGTATTTACTCTGAAAGTTTGGTACCGGCATGCGGGATTTTTTAAAGCCAGCCATAGTGGCACCGCTTGTCACGTGTTTCCTTTTGGCAACGATAACCTTAAAACTCGACTTCAGAGAACCTTTTTGTCATGGTTTCCTTAAAGTAGGATAGGTGGTGTGTTATAGTATTAAAGGATAGTATACAATAAACAGATTAGCTTAGATAAGCTAATTGTCTAGTTTTAAAATTTGACAATAACTAAAAAACAAAAACAAATTATTTTAACATTATTTACAAATCTTTAAATATATCCGTAAAGCAGATAGTCATTCTTGACGGTAACCGCTTACCATTAGGTTAGGGTGGGCCACATTTGTCAGGACGGGTACCGGCGACGGCGAACCTTCGGCGCGCTCTGTGCGGTACCGTATTTCGTGGTGTCGGAGTGGTGGAGCTCGATGGGGCTTAGTCGGTAGTCGGTTTTGCGGGGCGGGTCCTGCATGGTTGACGCCGCGCAGCGCCTCGCGCCCCTTTCTCAAGGCGTAGTCTCCCGGTAGAAATTGGAAGAAGAGGAGGAATATGGTCTTCCTCTTCTTCTCTGGAGGCGCCGGAGTCCGACATAACCCGGTCTGTTACCCCTCTCGACCGGACATCCGTAAACGGATTCCTCAGCTTTAAAAAAAAAAGGTGGGCCACATGCTCGTCACCATTCTAAAGCAATAAAAAGAAACGCGTGCCAATATTGAATACATAAATTTAAAATTAGTAATAAAAAATGTGTTTTACTTACCAGATTGATCGTGATGAACTTGGCATCTCACCGCGTGTCCACGACTGACGGCAGCCACGAAGGAGTGCTCGACGTTGTCGGCGTCGACAAACACGTGCCCCAACTAATCGACGCATTCGCGTTGGGACACTTCTACTGAACGCAACTTCATACTTGTATTTTGCTTTGCAATTTACTTTACCGATCGACACCGATAATTATCAATTTCGATCGCATCGATTTATATCTCGGTATTATAACTAATATTTGAAAACCAATAATGTTTACAAATTAGATGGAAACAGTATGTCCGAAAATTTTTGTAAGAATTTTAATATCAGTCTACAAATGTCGCAACCCGTGGTCATATGGGACTCGAAAATGAATGCGTACCGTAACCTGCGTAAATCTACTTGTATGACGTTAATATTGGACCTAGAGAGATATTAGTTAGTTACGTATTATTTTAGAGTAACCTTGAAATAATCGCTTTAGCTTAGTTTAGGGGCATCTAAACGTATTGTCTCGCAAACTTTGATTTTGGATCTCTGCTTACATAATAATATAAGAGGCACGAATTTTTTATGCTAGTATTAGGTTAGAGGGCTTGATTGATATTCTCCATACATTTTTCGTACGAAACGCGAAACGAGTATTTTTTCCTTAACTAATACATCAGTCCGGTTATGTTTGTATAATTTTTTTTAATGTTTTGATTCCTTGAGTTCCTTAAATGCACTTATGATATTTTTGCATTAATCTTCAAATATATGTATAATTAACATAAGTATGAAGTGTTTATCTCTAGGTATTGGTAAGCTTAGTATATTATGTATGTAGCTTGAAACATTACGTAACAGGGTCTTTTTGGTTAATCAAAAATTTGGCACCTGGCGTTCACTCACAAGCTGTGTTCATAAGTCGATACAAAAATTTATTTATAAAATGAAATCAATGTGACCAAAAGAGCGATAATTCTTTTATTCTGGTTTTTATAAAAGAACATTCTTCGCCGATAGTCAGCTGTTTTAAAAAAAGTTTGCACGTCAGCATGTAGTTTTGTATTTTGGATTTTACGTGTGACTATTAAATTTTTACTAAAATAGTCGTTCATAGGTTGTGCGGTTAGACGATTTTAGACTCTGCCAAAGTTAATTGTGCATTTTTATTTAAAACATATTAAATTCTGACGTGCGAACTTTATGTATTTAGCAGATAGATAAAAATAGCATATCTTCGTAATAATTAGAAACAATGAAAACAGGTACATGCTCATTCTATGGTCTCAAACTTCCATAACATTATCAACGAATTTGTGGTATATTCGAATCCGTCAAAGATTGTAACTGAACATATAATGAATCAGTTGCATAAATGCATAATTATTTGAACATTTCCAAAAGATTCGCACAATTTATTATTTCTAAAAATAAAATATCGGAAAAAAACACGAATATTCACGGATTTATTTTTAACAAATTGTAACTATCGATTAGTGAATATCGGCCCTGCTTGACTGAATGAGAATGACACTAAGTTTATGTTTATGGAACGCACTAGCGACGCGCATCACTATCGCGGAACACTAATGTATTTCTTTCCTTTTGAGTGCAAACAGCAAAAGTAACTGCGAAATTTGAACTGAATCGAATAAAGAACACAGTAGGTACATGAACAAACGAATATGGATTGCATAATTGTGCGAATCTTCTGGAACACTAATGCGCATGCATCTGCTTTCATAAAATATAGCGATAGGTAAATCCGTTTCAGAACATTAGTTACTTTTGTACTGATCAATGAGCGGACCTTTCAGAATCTGTGATCACTTGGTACTCTCTCGGGTTTAAGTATTTTTATATCTGAAAATGTTTAGAATTTTCAAAACTTAGGAGGAAAATTGTTGAAAACTTTTTTTTCTGAAATACCTGTAATATTTTGTTTTGTTGATATTTTTTAGAATAACTCATTTTTCATGAACGAAAATAGCTTATATTTATTATGCTTTCAAAATGTAGCAGCCGACACTTCATAACTTCTAAGCAAATTCCTAGGTTCTAAAGAATATTTGGGCTTTTATAACTATTTCTTGTGATTTGTGCTAAAACATAATATACCTACTTTCATCACAATTTATTTGGTTGTAATAATAAAACAGTTACAACTGTCCAGCTGTGTTTAGCTTTCAGTTTAAAAGGTACAGTTTATAAATATATATATTGCAATTAGACCATGTGGCTGCTTCAACATGATTACAAGTTTTGTTACATCACCTTTGTTTTTGTTTCAAACTTTTTAGTTTGACGATAATGTTAGTGCATTTTTTCTTGATTACTAAAATGATCCGTCCCTTATGAAATAAACACACTAGTGCCGCATGCGATTCTAGTATATTATTATATAATATAATAGTGTAATTTTTAATCAATTCACCGCATACCAAAACCACACTACTGGATGAATAATAATAAAAAAATGTACTTGCATGTTTGTTTTCACGTTAATAAATCGTAAATAAGCAATTGTTTGTTTTACTTTACATACTGAAATAAAAATACAAATATTATATAATAATAATAGGTACAAAAGATTTGCTACTCATTGACATGACCATTACTCAACAAGTTCGGCGGAGTAAGAGGAACGTTCATATGGCTTGGATTGATTATAAGAAAGCGTATGACTCTGTGCCTCATACATGGCTAATGAGAGTTTTAGAGCTATATAAAATAAATCCCATACTATGCTCCTTTCTTAGCTCATGCATGGGTCAATGGNTCGCGCACGATGTAAGCAATAATATCTGCATCCCAAATCTTGAAAAAAACATCTAAGGGAATTAAATCGGCGTTATCAAACGTTGGTCCAGTAGATGGCACAGTAAATGCTTCCCTGACAGACTCAAAATTTTCCGGCTCGCCTCGCCAGTCAAAATGAAGCAGATCGGTTTCCGGTCCTACCACGTTCCGAAGGACTTCGTCGGCAGCTATTACGTTAGCCGGGAAGCGCGCGCCCAAAATATACCGTCAACTTTATCGGGTTCAGAAAAGGACAAATTTTGTGTTTCACGCTGAAAACTTTATTTCTACAGTTTAGTAGTTTACTTACCTTGATAATAATAAAAAATCAAGTAAAAATACTCACCGTAAGTATTAAAATTCTTCACAATGCGGCACGACACTTATATCACAGCACACGCGAACCACACATTTGCAAATGACAACTTCAACTTTGTTTTTTGTTTTTTTATAATTTTTTCCAGGACTGGAATACGGTCTATTGGTTTTATTTGGTTGGAAATTTATCAAAGAAGCAGGAAAGATATATATAAACACACTAATGAACGAGCAAGACGGATAATATTCATAAAACTAGAGGAAGGTCAAGTCAAGAGGGCTTGTAGACCACTAGTCCACACGGGCAATTTAATGGTCCTAAATCTAGTAGACTTGTGGTCTACGGGGCATAATAAGGTGCAGAATTTTGCAGACTGGTAGTCTACGGGGCAATGAAGCGGCTAATGGGTACACTGACGTACTGTCTAAACGAGTACAGAATCTTCAGAATCAGAATCTATATACCTACAGCTTATGTTTTTCAAAATCCAGTATACATCTGTTTACTTCTTGACTATTTGCGTCATTTGATTATTTTGGTCGAATTAAGCATCGTGATATCGATTTAATAACCCAGTAATATAACCATAGGCCAAAAATTATTTTGTCTTTGCCTTTAAAATAGACAAATTATAAATTGGCGGTTTCATATCACATATTATACATTAGAGAATGTGGAATAGAGACATCTTCAAACACAACATGAAATTATTTTATTTTACAACAAGTCAACTGGGGACTGGGGACCTTATGCAGTCGGTTGGGCGGGAGAGCGCGAGGATTACGAGTTGTGATTTTTTTTTTTTATAATTTAGTGTCTTTATAGTTTTAAACGTGTAGTGATGGTCGTTTACTGTTTAGCATCTGTAAAAGGACACAATTGTGGGAAAATGAAACAAGGCCGCTAGACATAACTTCTAAGGATCTCCAAAAAATTCAATAAATGACCACTATTTTGTAGAGCCTTTAATTAATTCTGTATAGAATTCTATATATCTAATTAATTCTATATAGAATTAATTAAAGGCTCTACAAATGAGATAATATTATCTCGTTTCATTTCTTAATTGATTAACGGCTCAAATTAATCAAGTTATTTCCTTTTGCTCCATGTCATTTTTCATAAAACATAATTTACAAAAGATTAGACAGTATGGTGTTACATCTTCGCCTTTCCAATTAGAAAAACGGAACAGAGAACTGCCACTTTTGCATGTCTGTCACTGTCAACCAGTCTAAGGCAATTCATTTACCTCTAGTTCGGATTTATGCATTTAATATAAATTAAGGTTAAAAGGCCATTCTTCGTTTATCCGTAAATATATTTTAATTTGTTTTAGAAATGACGGATATAGATAAATGGATAGAAGTTGCAAAGAGATGCAAATACCTCCCGGAAGATGACCTACGGGAACTGTGCAATATAGTTTGTGATTTGTTACTTGAAGAACCTAATGTTCAGCCGGTACAGACACCTGTGACGGTTTGTGGTGATATTCATGGACAGGTAAGCTGCCTGATCCAACTGAAACATTTAAAATTACATCGGAAAACTAACCAGCTTATTCTCTTGTGACTTTACAACTTAAATCATTTAAAAAAGTTTGTTGGATAAAACCATCAGTTAATTTTCTAAATTACTGCAACTAATAAATTGTAAATTCAATTATAAGTATAAGAATAATAATAATGAAATGTTTAGTAATGAAATGTCTAAGAGCTCCTGTAGAAAAACTATATTTCAAAATGTAATTTCAATATTTTCAGTTCTATGATTTAGAGGAGCTTTTTCACATAGGTGGTCAAGTGCCATATACAAAATACATATTTATGGGAGATTATGTGGATCGAGGATATTATAGTTTAGAAACACTAACCTTGCTCATGGCCTTGAAAGCTAGATATCCAGATAGGTGAGTTGTACTTTAAAAAATTTAAAGTATTAAGTCAAAGATATGGATGAAAAAATACATATTGCTGTTACGTAATTATATCAATTATTATTAATATCAATTATCATTATATCAATATTGATTGAGGTTATATGAAATCAATAAATTTCCCCATTAATCAGAATAAGTTTTTTCATAATATACAAATAAAGGTAACTCCAGATAATAAGTATTTATGGATGCAAAATTAATATTGTTTTTTTTTGTCAATATTATTTCGTTGATACACATTGCCTTTCAACATCTTGTTTAATAATATTTATATTCAAATCTTCTTATTCAGGATAATCTTATTAAGGGGTAATCATGAAACATGTCAAATAACTAAGGTTTATGGATTTTATGATGAATGTCTCAATAAATATGGAAATGCAAATGCATGGAAAGACTGTTGCAGAGTTTTTGATTTGCTCACTGTTGCTGCAGTAAGTGGACATTGAATAAATATTATCTAAAATAAAAATATAAATTAGCTTAAAATTTTAGTTATAAAGCTTATTTCTTAAGAATAAATTGGGATTATGGTTCATGTTTGTCATAGTTTTATGGCTGAAAACTTCAGACAATTTTGCAATTTTAACGAAGTCAATAACATTTTCAACAATAAAATGATGGTATCAATTTTTCTAATGATATAAGTACTGAACACATGTGTCCAAGTGACTTCCATGATGGAGGATTACTAATTTGTAATAAAAATTGAACCAACTAGGTATGTACTAAGTATAATTTGTATAATTAATTTAGGTAGGGCATCTTGTTAACCGGCACAGGTAGATATCATTATCGCGCTTATTTCTAAGATGAAGCAGGCATTGTACTGCAAAACAGAGTTAGAACTTTGTCTCGAGGTGGGGGATAAGATTGGCTTTTGTTCATGTTTACAGACTAGTAACCACTTAATAATAGGTGGGCCGTAAACTCCTTTATCTATATAAGCAATAAAAAAATTAAATTAGATTATGTTACAACAAATCATTTAAGTCAGCAACTTTTACAGTTAATTGATGAAACCGTCCTATGTGTGCACGGTGGTCTATCACCAGAAATATCTATGATTGATCAAATAAGATGCATTGATAGAAATCAACAAATTCCACACAAAGGTGCATTCTGTGATTTGTTGTGGTCAGATCCTGCTGATGTGAAAATGTGGTGAGTATGTAGCTAATGCTGATGTAGAGTATATGAAAGATGTAGAATGTAGGCTCTGGGTAAGACATTGTCTGGTTTCACTCATCCTCACTAATTAAAAGTACTTTTACGGTTTAATCTTGTGTTTTGTATAATTATTACAGTCAAAACCGTTTACTGCGACATCGTTTAATACAACATGCCGGTTATAATAACCAAGAACAAAGGTCCCGGCTGAATGCCATATGACCGCCTTATTAAAAATATTGCTTTCTACGACATACCTCATAAAACGACCACATTTAACTAATATTTCGGAGAATTAGATCTGTTAGAACGACCGGCTAAGCTGTATTGTAAACAATTTGAATAGGTATCCACATTTGTCTTCAATGGCTTTTAAAATCACGAAAGAAAACAATAGGATTTAGTTTAGTGTAGGGTCTTTTCTAATTCTTAGAAACAAAACACGTGCATGCGGTAGTCAAAGTCCGCTTCTTCATATTTCTTCAGTTAGTTTGTTACTTATCTATACACAAGACGCACCAAAACTTTGTGGAGTTATTCATGAAACTTTAAAAATGTCACAAAAAAAAAGAAAACAAATTAATATTGAAGAAAAATCGCGTATTATGTAAATATATTTTTCCAATAATTCCCTATCGATTTGTTTGTACTTGCGCGATACACATTAAACATCACCGGTTGTTACGACTATCGGTTTTTACGACTGAATATGAGCAGTCCCTTCGATGTCGTTATAACAGATTTTGACTGTATATTATTTCTAATATTTCTAATACTTTATAGTGTTTGTGGTCCAAACTAGGTCACTTTGTGTACTAAGTGTCAGTATGATCATGATAAGATTTAGTGTTTTAATTGTGGAGAACCCAGATCCAAATGATTATAAAAAAAAACATGTAATAATACATTTTTTTTAATGTACAGGTCAGTAAGTCCTCGTGGAGCTGGATGGTTGTTTGGCTGTCAGGTTACAGAACTCTTCATGAATTACAATGATTTAACTCTTATATGCAGGGCACATCAATTAGTGAATGATGGTGTGTATTTTTAGTGTTTTATTTTATTAAGTGTTCAAATTAAAACTTAGTGTACATAAGAAAACCATTCCACTACCATAAGATAAACTCTCAAAACATCACAAATCCATCAGAAATATTATAATATCTCGTAAATCTTCTCACGTCAGGTCATGTCATAAGATGAGTTTACATTCGAACTACAGACTACACAATCCGAAGGCTCACCATCATTGAATTAGCAGTAGTGCCACTCTTTTTAAATTGCTAGTTTGAATTAAATATCAAGCACTGAAGTCTACTCGTGCCAATCCAACTATGCCAATGTTTAAATCTGCAGACTTATCAGCCAAATATATAGTAACTCATGCTTACAAATAATTTTCGCAATGAAGGATTAATACTGGGTAATAAAAATCAAATCTACAAAAACTAGAATTTCAAAAATGTAATTGAAATTACTATGTAATGAAAACTTGGACCTCATGTCTCAAGATGGGTAGCAATAGTCACATATCTATGAGATCCAGTAACCACCAAATGCCAGATGCGCCAGGAATTCATTTCATTATGCTAGAAAAAATAAAAACTCAATATTGTAATAATGTTTTTTTAATGTAATCAGGTATATAGCTTTGTTGGGTAAATGTAATATCTTCACACATTTTAAGATTCTATTTAACCTAATACTTTTCTGCAGGTTATAAATACATGTTTGACAAAAGATTAGTAACAGTCTGGTCGGCGCCTAACTACTGTTACCGATGTGGTAATGTTGCCTCAATCTTGGAATTCAACACTGTTCATGATAGAACAGCAAGGTTATTCCAAGCAGTGCCTGACACCGAACGAGAAGTTCCTCCACAGCATACTACTCCATATTTCCTTTGAGCTGAGATTATGTGATCAAAGTATTCCATAAGTGTAAAGTTTTGTATTAATAAATGTTGCATCTATTACAATTTTTTTGTTTATTGACCCACTTTTATGTTCTTTATTATGAGATCTGTTCTTTTTGACATATTACTATAATTTTTTTAAATCTTCATTATTTATACCTTCGTTTTTTATATTTATATATTTAATTTTACCTTTTATTATTAAATATGTACCATCATGAAATAGTCTGTTGAAAATGAATAATGGGATTAACAGAATATATTACAAACTAGCTTTCTGCTGCATTACATATCACATGGGTGGAAGAGATCCATGCTCAGCAGTGGAATGAAAGGCATCCCAGTTTTTTAAAGGTTAAACTATTTCCATACAATGTTTCAATATATATGCAGTGAAAATCCTTTCAATAGATTCAGAAATATGTGACAAATGTGGGTGAACAGACAAATGGTGACCAATTCTAAAAATGTCCAGTTTATGTTCTATTACTGTTCTTTAATTATTATTTTTCTACTTATATAAAATTTCCTAAATGTATAGACGTACTGAATTAATTGTTTTATTATATATGTAGATTGATAAAGTGGCATGCATTTAAATAAATGATATACAAAAAACTTTAATGAGGCTTTATTTTCTTATAATTTTATGAAACACTAGAGTATTGCAAATTAACTACTCCCTATTGTAATCGAAAGTGTAGTCAAAGTAAGATTGATCAAAGTTATGAACACGAACATAACCATCTTCACCTCCGGAAGCATAGGACTTTCCATCTGGATGGAAAGCCAAACTGTTGATAGGACCAAAGTGACCTTTCACTCGGCCAAACTCCTCTTCAAATACTAAGTGGAAGAAACGAGCATCGAATTTACCCTGTCTGGTTGATGTGGTTGTCACTTCCATAGCATCTTGACCACCACCAAGTACAACATGATCAAGGATTGGACTGAGAGCAGCAGAATTTACAGGTCTCTCTGTCTTGTATTCTTTAAGAAGTTCTAATGAGTTAGTGTCAAATAACTTAGCAGTATGATCCTTGGAAGCAGTTACAAACATTGTGCCGTCACGAGAAAGTTGCATATCGGTGATTTGGTGGGTATGCTCTTTAACAGAGTGGATTTTTTTACCAGTCTGAAAAATAATTAGATATCATTAGCACTATTTAAAAATAAACAGAATAATTTCTATGAAAGATAATTTTTTTGCATGGAGAAAGTAGATAATATTTGAATTTACTTAGTCTATTGAATAATTATTTGCATACCCTCAGATCCCATTGTATAAGGTCACCAGCTTCATGACCAGTGATAATTGTCTCATCTAAAGAACCCCAAATCATTGAAGTAACCTTTGAATCTGTGATTTCCCATTTTAAAATAGGAGCTTGACCTGACACTGTTTCATCAATTGTTCTTGTATCAATAACGAACACCTGTAAATTGACATAATACTTTATATCTTAATTGTTATCACAGGATATACAAAATTATAATACTAGTTAGTAAAAACTTACTGTATATGTATATAGGAAACACATTAAGGGTTAAAATAGAGATTCCCAAGAGTTGATATTGTCTACCTAAGCACACTATAATTTAACCGACTCCAAAGTTTCAGTTCAGTTTGAAAAAGGGTATTTCCTGCTCAAAATATTTTGTGATTTAAGTTAAAGGGTATTAAATTTACAAGTGAGCCTTTCGGTAATAATAAATTTTAAATGTCTGGAGCATAATAAAAAAAAACAAAGTGAAATGTCAGCATAAATGACACTTGTACTGTCAACAAATCTTAGTTTAAAGAAATACAAGGTATGTAGGAATTACTCTTGAATACTAAGTTGTAATCATTAATTGACGGATATGTTAAAGAACAAAAAATAAGATTTTTTTTAAGGCATGGCCCTCAATAAACCACTTTGAAGTGAAGCAGACAAGTTCACATTGTGGTTTAATAGAGAATGAAAGTTCTGAAACGGAAACAACTATAATAATATTTATGCTTAGCTTTGCATACAATTTTACTTTTCTTCTAATGTTAAAGTTGCCAGTCATAATATCCATTAGTCTTTCTCATCCTCAATTCATGTTTCTCTATTTAAATAAAATGTATATACTATGTAATTACCTCACAAGGGTGTCCCATAGCTTTGTCAGTGGTATAAGCAGCTTGATATGCACTATAGCTGAAGTTGCATGTTCTTACAGAAGAGTTGGATTTGAGTGTTGCAATATTCTTGCCTGTCTCCAGATCCCATAACCTGTGCATCGTTTAGTGTTATCAACAGCCTACTCATCTTTGAGCAAACAACATGAAAAAAGAATGCAATTTTCAACACTTTATTTGTTTATAATATACTGAGGATAATACCTGCAGGAACTGTCGCCACCACCTGTGATGAGATTAATTGACTGCCAGTCGACGTCAAGGCACCATATTACACCACCGTGGCCGTTGAAAGTGCCAAGACGTTCGCCGTTCAGTGACCACCAAACATTTGGTTTTGAATCTTTAGCGGCGGAGAAGAGCAAGTCACCCTCGCGGTTATATTTGATCTGTGTGATGGCACGCTGGTGCCCTTGCAGCATAAGAGGTTTCTGGAATTACATGAGTAAGTAATTTACCTAATTTATAGTCATAGCTATGTTTGTGATTGAATTTGTTTGATATTTCACACAATAACTTTGGAGGCATTAAAATTTTGTATAAGAGTGTTATTTACCATGTTTAGAAAGTATTTTATTTAATAGTTTATTATAAATCACAATAAAAACGATGTGGTGACATGTGGCAGGCGGCGGACCTTTTGACAGAAGATTTTTTTTTCTTAATTTTTATTTAGCCTTCGCTTGGCGCATAGTTGAGCTCTATAGCCTATGGTAAATTTTTATAGGATGTTATGACCTGGTAACTAAGACCTTTAGGTCATGTCTTATTTTAATTTATATTCTTATTTTTATGAAAAATGATAATATGGAGTGAAATGAAATGAAATTAAATTAAATGAGATGAGATGATATGGGATGAAATATAATCTCAGTAAAATGGTGTCATTTACTAAGATTTTTTCAGTGGACTTTTTGGAGGATCCCGTATTGCTACGTCTAGCGGCTTTGTTTCATTTTCCCACATTTGTGCACTTTCGCAGATATTAAACAGTTAATAAACCACCGTTATTACACACTGAAACCTGAAGAAACACTAAATAGAGAAAATAAAACCAATCACACAACTTCACTCCTCGCGTTCCCGCCAAAAAGTCCATACATTTAATTTAGTTACAATCATAGATTATACACTTAATATTTGAGAATTACAATAAAATTCTGGTCGTACGTGCACGTGTTGTACATCAAAAATTCTTCGCTCTGAATCTAGTTTTTATTGAAGCTAGCACCTCTTTTTTTTCTCTTTTCTTTTTTCCTACCTATGGTATATCCTTGCTATAGCCTTGAAAAGCTATTTCAGCTTCATCCTAACATATAGGTGAGCTCACGGGGATCAAACCGGAAGTGTTGCTAACACTGGCCCTAGCAAGAGCAGTGCTTCGCAGAATCTACCACCGGATCGGAAACGCAACCCACTGAGAAGCTCCGACGAGAAACTCAGTGGGCTGTGTCTATGGGCTAATTCACTCGTCGAGCCCATCGTCGCAAGCGACGGGTTCAACGAGGATGGTGACCGGTTCTAGCACCAAAATACAGTCCACGCTCTAAAAATAATGCACCCACAGTCCAAAGTTAGGTTTGAAATATGTCCACTTGCAAGATTTCTTGAAATGTTCGCTAGTACAATTCGGGTTGATCGATACTGTGATCTCCAAACATTCTCAAAGCTAACCCCGATGTTTCCAGGAAATAACTGATTTTTCGTTTGACGCTATAAAAGACGGATAAAAAATAAAACATTTTCAACAATATTTGACATACATTTTATTTTCTTAAATTAATAACCATTGATTTCCAAGAGTACAACTAAAAAACAAATTAAAGTACAAACACGTTATGCGTTGCTAACTAAACACAACTGTAGGTAACTTCTCTTGGCAAACCAGTACACTGTTTTTGACTAACATCCGGCGCACCACTCGAACGAGACAAACGAGAGACAAAACTCACAATCAATAGTCACTACGCACTTAACTTGGTCGTATAACAAACAGCCTTTATTAATCCATCGAGAATAGTACAGCAATCAGCAACTAATGTGATTTGCTACGTACAAACATAGAACCTTATGGTATTCATAATACTTAAAATTATTTCTACGTTCTGAAAGCAATAAGTCTTGAAATTGAGCGAGCTCAACCAAACATGTGAAATACAGCACACTCTCTACCACATTGAATTCTCGTGCAAAACAATATTTGATACGTTTCTAGTTATTGAGGCACTTACGATGTTATTATTTGTTAAACTAATAAAGTGAAACGACTGTATTTAAATTTGCTTTATAATAGTGTGTATATCAATACATTATAATGAATACGTTACACATAAAAGAGTAAAGCTAAACACGTTTGCGTGTTCATAACGTAAACAGATCGTTTTGATTCAAATGTAACTTGTAGAATTTATTATTACGTGGATACTTAGAATTCAAACATCTGTGAGATACTTAATTACATACAACAATCGCTCAATGTTCCAAATACCTGGTACAGCTTCACACTCGTCTTCATAACTATTTAATGTCTAACGTACACAAATATCAATCTTCCGTTTACCCGAAAGAAATTGAAACGCTATTTTTTTATACACAACAAACCTTATCCTACAAATGTGAAATATATTTCTCTTATGGACTGTAAAGAAATTGTGAAATGCATTAAGTTTTTGTTACACCCTTATAAATAGATTAACATTATAATGTTTGTTACATTACTATATCAGTCAAAATATTTTCGAGTTAGATATTATCTACGGATCGGCTTTCAAACGAATTCTTTTATAGGCTCCGAATTATGTATATTAGTTTTGTTTAATTGACAGTGTTGTTATTGTCGTGTGTCGAACGAATGCACGAATACGTGCCCTTCTAATTTGAAAACCGATCACCACCTTGAAGATTCTCTGTGGCATCGAGATCTACTGTAATATAGTATTCAGAAAACACAAAACAACGCGGCAAACATAAGCAAATCAAATACTCATAATACGGCTTCTGTCAGTCAAATTTGTTACTAAATTTCAAAATAGAATATTAAAACGCTACGTTTTTTAAAAAAAAATTGAACGGGCGAAAAGCAACGAAAAGTGAGTGTGGCCATTTTTCTGGTCGAAGCATAACTTTAATAATATTTACATTGTAAACGTATTAGCCTCAGGAGGCTCCTCGTGTATTTATCTAATTAGGTACTCGCCAGTAATGCGCCAATTTCATTGTTTATTTACTAACAATACTATCCTTTGTACAACGCCAATAACATCCTTACGAATCTAGTTCCCTTTTAACACTGCCGTTAGTTTCATCTTAACAATACGTTATGCTAATAACAAAATAAGTGTCAATATTACTTAAATTATCATTTACATACACAATATTAATAGAACGATGCACAATTCGCGATTACATTTTATAATTTACGATTTTTTGTTTTTACACGTTTAAAAATCTATAAAGGCATCTTTACCTCAGACTTTAGATTTGACACCGTCGTTTTGATGGTGTTGTTTATGTACTAATTTTTTTTATTAAGTTAGATAAAATTGAATAAATAAATAAAGACACCCAATTGTCGCAAAGTATTCGCATAGTGAGACCGAATAAAGGCGAGCGCTCACGGGCCGTGGTTGCGTATCGCGAAACGCGCGTATCTTCGAACGGTCTAGATCCGACATACTATCACTGAATATTATCACAATTAACTAATAATTTCACCAACGACGTCAACTTATATTTATCTAAATTAAAATACAACAAAATTAATTGAAAAAAAAACTACTTAGGCATTTGATGGCAGTTTCGTAACTGGTTGTTTTAATATTTTCACAAACTAAATTAATAAAAATGTACAAAACATTATTATCGACTAATACTTAACTAATGGTAACACGATGAGGAACGGACGTGTATCGCTCATTCAGGTAACAGAATCATTTTACTTACAATTTGTGTTCTCGCGAGAGTTCAAGATTCAGCTTGTGTGCTTTGTCGATGCTAAATTTAAGAGAGCGCATTACACTGTTATTTTGAGACCAAAAAACCTGGCAAACATGCTTTTGTTTTTTATTATTATTCCAATAAATTTTAAGCGACTGCAAGAATCATTGAATTAAACAAGCTTGTTTGATTTGTTTTATAAGCTATGACTTTGAGTTGGATCGTAAAGGACATGATTTAATTTCACAATTAAGCTAAACACTTTTTGATATTCTCACATCAAACATTGTTAGTCCTTTTTATAAAAGTATGAAATTTATTTTAAAGAATAATGTTCAACAAATTGCGATTTCACGCATATATTGTATAAAAAATCCGATAGACCTCCATTTTGACTGCAAAGGCGTATTAAGACCTATTCAACTAGAACCTAAGTCCTTAGAACGAACTTTTTGGTTGTCACTTAATTTACAACGAGACGAATTCGCCTCCTACACCTAATGGTAACTGTTCACCGTTGCTGGAACGTTTATTACATATTTAACATTACATTACAATACGAGAGTTAACAATACACGGCAAATAAATTTAATTACGATAGGCAGTGATTACTGACAGTGTTAATATTAAGTCTTTAAAACGATGTTAGATGAATATTAATGATATTTTTTTGATGATTTTGTGATTTTATTTATTAACTAACAATACAATTTATGATTTATTACTTGATTTCGGAAAAGGAGTATGCACGAAGTTTTGTTAGTATAGAAATTTCGACAGTAGATTTGTGAGTTTTGAGTGTAATGAGCATTGAGTAAAATAAAATTATGGCAATGATGTGAAGTGAAGTTTAGTCGCGTTTATAACTATATAAAAGTGCTGCTCCACTTTTATCCTACATTCCCAAATGTATATATATTTTAGGATGTATTTATACTGTTCATTATAATTAAAACTACTATTATGGTTTTATCTCGTCCTTTTCTTTATTACTACATTATTTCCGAGTTTTCGAACAGCTTGCAATTTTCATGGTGATGCCCGACTTGGATACGAGATTATACCATAACACTAGTTTTAATTAAGTTTACGACTCGCAAAACCGAAAAACAAAACTACTGTTGATCGTAGTAATAAATTCACACCGAACAAACATGTATATTAATTACATTATAATGACGACTACGTAACGATACTGTTTTATTTTTTAACTCGTTTATTAAAAGATATAATCGTGTTTTGTATATTTTTTTAATTAAGTGTCATCGAACACAATCATCACTCCATAGTCAAAAACATATAAATCTCTTTCAATTACTTTAAATGACTTCAGTGGAGCATTAAATTATAAAACAATAATTTGATGTAGTTAGTTGAGTTAGATGAATATCAGACAACATTGAAAGCACGATTCATTGAAAAAATTAAGGCTACAATTTTTTGATAATCCACAAAATATGACATTGAGCACAATTAATTATGAACACATCGAAAGGAAGCAAAAGATCCGTCTTAAGCATTAAAGGATTATGTTCAGACGAAAATGCAAAGGGCTTGCGAAAACGCTACTCCGACACGCCGAAAACTTCCACACGTGCACTCACAGTCTTATAACTACGTAGACCAGAATCAAGAAATGAAATAAAATCGAGAACGAATTACTATTAGATAATATTATGCGAAAACCAGTGTTATGCGAAGTATTGGCAATAAAAATGCATTTAAAGTTGTGACTACAAGAATAGTGCGACCGCACCGCGTCGTGTTAGTGTAACAGTTGTATACAAGCAGTCTTAGTGTAGACACTGAGAGTAGGTAGGTACTTAGTGCTACTTATAATATCTACGTACAAAATAAAATTAAAAATTCTCATATTTAACACGCCAAGTGACAATACTAAAATTTAGTTATCCTAAAAAATATAAAATGCAAACTAAAACAGGAAATATTTCATTTACAAGAAACAATTCTGTCTAAACAATTCTTAACGACTACGTTTTTTTTTTAATATTATTAATTAACATTATATTTACAGTACTTATATGTAATTAGAATATATTATGTATATATTATGCGATTCTCCGTCTTACAATCATTAAATAATAACATTAACAGAATATTTAATTCTATTTAACACTAAATAGTGTACACTACCACGTATAAAACACGCATCGAGTCCCTTCCGTAATTAAACTTTAAAATCTATATTTGTTTATCAATAAATCAGTCTGTCAATTGGGACGTTTTAATTCATCTAGTAAACATTAACCAACGCACTTGATTAGAAAATGTCTCCTGGGCAATGTCCCGGCTCGAGAAGGGACATCCGCACGACCTCTCGTGCCGGTCCGGCGGTTTTCTGAACACAGGGTGGTGTGATCATAAGTCGAGGGTGGGTAGTGTAGGGCGTGACGTCACTCACTACGAGGACTGGACGCCCTGCTGGGCCATATACTATCTGATCTCCGCCGAGTTCAGCACGAACGGAACGTAGAACATTTTGCTCTCGAGGAGCAAGTTAGCCGCCGCCTGGATCTGTGGAGAGAAAGAGCTTTCGTGTGAAATCGGGTGCTTTCGAATTGTCAAGACTTTCTATCCGAAACGGGTCTGTTACTAAAGCGTTCACTTGAACCGCAATGAATCTCATTTATAATGTTGCAAACGGAATATGAATTTTACTGTTTTTTTTTACTTTTTTTTTATTGCCCTTGTAGGCAGACGAGCACACGGCCCACCTGATGGTGAGTGGTTACCGTCGCTCATGGACTTCAGCAATGCCAGGAGCAGAGCCGAGCCGCTGCCTACCGCTCAATACTCTTAATACTTTAGTTTATAAGGCTAAATTTAAATGTTCGTCGAGTTACCTCTGGGATTCTGGCGAACAGTTCCTGTAGCCTGCCCGGATGGTGCGGGTTGGCGTGTTCAAGGTAGCTGCGTAGTACTTGCACGTAGCGGTCCTGGATTCCCTCGAGTTCGACTTCTAAAAAAAGATTATCCCTAATTTGACAATTTGTAAATAATAAAATAATACAATTCAGAATATCAAATGTCTCTTTTTACACCCAAGTATTTATGTTTAACTGATTTGTATATATTGTGATATGTTTAGTAATGCGTTTTTACCTGTAAATGTACATACATGCAATTTTTATCAAGTATAGAATATATTTTTTCTAGAAAATTAAAATACAATATTGTTGAACTGCTTCTTAATTTAAAACAATTTTTTCGCCAGGTGTATTGCTATTCGCCAACAGATGGCGCTGCGAAGCATTAATAAACCAATGGCATGGACTACGGACGGAACGCGCGGTGCGGCGGTGACGTCACACGCTCAGTAGGTCACTCCGATAGCAGGGCAACGACCGCGGCTAGCCGTTGACCTCCGCTCGAGCGCGCTCGCGTCCTCACTCGCTGTTCCTATCTCGCTCGCACGTTCGTTTTTCCACGCTAACTAAGGTACGTGCGACTCTTCAATGTGCAACTTCATTTAATTGACATTTTTGTTACACGACAGTACGAATCTGTTGACGTTTTTAATATTCCTTTACCTATTTCGCCGTAATTATTAACGTGAGCTATTCTGGATCCGGACGTAATTTTCCATGTTTGGATGCATCAAAACGTTACGCGTATATTGATTGAGTGCGTTGCGTAAAGAGTTCACGTGAGAGAGGGTAATATGTAGCGAGCGTTACGATCTGCGTTTTTTTTTTCCACTGCATTCGGTTGCGCTGCGCAAAAGAGAAAGTCCGCCTTCCGCGTTGCGCTTTCCGCTGCGAGAGTGAAATGTTGTCCCGTTAGATGACGTAACGAGCTCGGCTATTACGCGCACACTGACACCTCCGATTTTATAACCGATTATGAAGGCATAAAATATTCCATTTCTTTTAACGTAATATAAATAAAATAATTAACGTATGTATAGCATGATTCGTGAATTACTTTAAATTAGTCAAACCTAGTGCAGTAACAACTAATATTTTAATGGGGAGTCGATACAAAAATACATTGGAGCATCCAATCGCTGTCCGTATGTCTAATAGCTAAATTCCGAAACGTTGCTCAACAGCACACAATCATAGTGCAAAATACACACGCGCTCATAGAAACGGCAGCGCACACTCAGGCATGTTGGCTGTGTTGCGCAAACGCTTTCCATTTCACCGTGGGTCTCACTCGAGCACCGGCCATTACTGCGTTATGCAAAAACGACTTTAAGTGGCTTTAAAATTCGTTTTTATATTTATTATTATTTAGGCTGCTTTATTAAATCGAGTTTCCACAAAATAAAAAGTTTTGAAATTAAATTGAATATGGTAATTGTCTAATTTAACTATTTTCATTCAAAAATTTATTTGTGAAGACAGATTTCATGTCTTAAACTCACAATACATCTCTATAATTTTTTTATTAATTTGTATTGTATCACCCATACGTTATGTCGAATATAGAATTGAGCAATAGAGCAGAGTGGTCAAAGTTGTCTGTTTGATGTGTTCGTAAGTAGGTTATCAAGAGTTTCAATTCGGAGTCAATTCAGTTTAATGGGTCCACTCATTGTAGCACTGAATTTTGTATGCGTGTTTAATTCACAGTTAGTTTAGATTTGTTATAAAGTAAGTAGGAAGATGTTTGTTAGTTTCGTAAACCACATCGATATTTAAATTTAAATTTGGTTTTGCTACTGAATCTGAATACTTTAACCATTCATTTCCTTGATAAATGCTATTTAATTAACTGGTGCTAATACCGCTATGGGGTATGGTCTATTTCAAGTCATTCTAAATATCATTCAACGTCATTATTCATGAGAAGGTAAAATGTATTATGCACTTAATTTATCGAATAGTACCATATATTTTCACAACGACCGCCAAATATTTGGCGTATATTTCGTGAAAGATAAATATATACTAGCCGTATTCGCCCGCTTCGCTGGGGACTTAAAATTAACGTTATTATTTATTGTCATTATTATTAGGAAGTCCAACGCTCATCTAAATATTAGCCTATCCATTAAGTTCATGTATTTTCTACATGGATACTAAGTTTCAACTCAATCGGATGCATGGTTCAGTAGTTATAACGGAACATCCGTAAAAACCACTGTAGATTTATATATTAAGTATATATTCTAGAACTTTACTTGCTTTTGTTAATAACAAGTTAGGTGCCCGCAGTTGCCTCATTGTCCTCGAAAACTAATGATGAAAAGTGAACGTTTGTTTGTTTGTTTGTTTGCGGTGTGCGTTTGCGTCTTTATTATACATGACTTGAAAACTTGTTTGCTATTTTAATTTAAAATATTTTTACAGTTTAAATTAACATTTTTTTGTTGTCAGTATATTATCTCCATCATCCGTGACCACGTAAGCGGTAAAGTATTTGAAACGTCGCGAGTTTTCATTATTGCTCTTGTAGGCATAAATCCCAGCTGATGGTAGGTGGTGACGTCGCTCATGGACGTCAGTAATGCTAGGGACACAGCCAAACCGCTGCCTACCGCTGTAATATATATACCACATGTATAGTATCGCAGGTAATTTTAATGACTATAAAAACGCGAGTTATAAAAGTATTTTTAATTATTACGACTCATGAAATACGAAGAAATTATTATTTTGTTACTATTGCTTATAGTTACTCTTGGCGCTTCAATGAAGATTTTCGTCTAGGATAGCTACGAATCTATAACTGACTAATATTATAAAGAGGAAAGATTTGTTTGTTTGTTTGTATTGAATAGGCTCCGAAACTACTGAACCGATTTGAAAAATTCTTTCACTGTTTGGAAGCTACACTATTCCCGAGTGACATAGACATAATTTTTTTTAAAAAAAATTTGTAATTCTTACTAAAACTCCAATAATGTAACCCAAGGTGTAAAAAAAATACCTAAAATACTCTTTACATCGCGTGCCCTGCAAAAACTATTGATGATAGAATAAAATAATGTACTACGACTTTGTAGAACACATTATTGTTTACAAAAAGTGTCGCTACAGCATATGTCTAACTATTATAGTTATGCCGTAATCAGTGTTCTTTTATTCCAAAAAAATAAAACAACGTCAAATATCGTTGAAATTTTTGTTAAAGACCCGAGCGGAGTCGGAGCGGGCAGCTTGTAACTGATATTTTTAATAATTTGGCGTTCTTGATGCACTTCGAATTTCTGTGCAAGACTCTTTTCAAATACATATTTGCTTAGTCACGTATTCCACGATTATTTTAACATATAAAAGAATTTTGTCTTATATATTGTTTCCCTGCTTAGAGATTTAACGTAAAAAATTAGGTAGTTGTTGGTTTCAAAAGGTTTTTACATTGCTTTTTTGTAACACACACCCCTGATCCAACCTGTACAATTAACAGTAGACTCTGAGTGTCTGAATGGTTTTTCTAAATCTTGAAATTACATTTTTTAATCTTCAGTATTCATAACAAATAAAATATCTGGTTTGTTAGTGGGAAATGTGCATGTTACGCTAGTACTGTTAATGGTTGGTATGTAAATGTGATGAGGAGACGAAATGAAAATGAGGCTGGTAAGAGAGTGTTAACTATGAATGTGGAAGGATATAGAGGAAGGGGTAGATCTAAGAAGATATGGATGGATTGCGTGAAAGACGATATGTGTAAGAGGGGAGTGAGCGAAGAAATGGTATATGATAGAGGAGTATGGAAGGAGAAAACATGTTGCGCCGACCCCAAGTGACTAGGAGACGGGCAGGAGAATGATGACGCTAGTACTATTAACAAGGGCTTCAGCTACTGTCAATTCGACTGGCGACAGTTTGCAAGAGCCGGGAGCCAGCATTTATATATAAATTATATTTATACATTAATAAATAACTGGGAAACAAATTACGCATGCCATCCGGCTTTAAATTAGGATTCCCTGTGTTACCAGAGACTGACACATAAACATAATAAACATATAATCATTTCAGCATATGAATATATAGGAGACGACAGCGCCATTGGATTCCTACCATCATAGCCGAATACTAAACACAACTTTACGCAAATTATTTGGCGTGTTGTTACTCGTATGAAATACTAGCTAGTTCAGTTAGATCAATAAATCATGATGGATGACGTACGCACTTTCACTTGGTAATTCGAGTATCGTTGATGTTAATTTCGTTAGTGAGATAGCTGGGAGATTACGGAGAAGCATCTGCAAATTACCGTGTCATGAAAACAGTGTTGATTACCGCGAGAAACAGTTTTTCGTAAATCGACAATTATATTGTTCCATAATCATCTTTCATATTTCATCATGAGTATTTAAACGAACAAAAATAACTATTGTAACAATAATCAAATTGGTATTGTTATTAATTAGTATTAATACATATAATTGAACGCTATGAGGAAATCCTTTTGAATAGATCCCAAAGTACTACGCTGTATATTTACGTTTTAAAAATATATCTTTTTTTTTTCTTAGATGAGTGGACGAGCTCACAGTCCACCTGGTGTTAAGTGATTACTGGAGCCCATAGACATCTACGACGTAAATGCGCCACCCACCTTGAGATATAAGTTCTAAGGTCTCAAGTATAGTTACAACGACTGCCCCACCCTTCAAACCGAAATGCATTACTGCTTCACGGCTGAAATAGGTTGGGTGGTGGTACCTACCCGTGCGGACTCACAAGAGGTCCTACCACCAGTAAAATTTTATTTTATTAAGAATAATAGTACGTATTTATATATCTCTATATGATAGTATTTATTGTAGGCAACATTGTATCTGTGCACCAGGAAACTGCTTCCATTTGTTTGATAACAGCGTAAAGGTACGTTTGCCGGTGAAAATAATTTTCAAACACGTCGACAGAGCGTGAGGTCGACCCACTTACAGCGGAGCGATAACACAGGATGTCATAGTTTCCTAGTACATGCAATGAAAATAGCCGAACCGTACTGAATATTGTTCACCTATTCAAAAACCAGGCAATACAGCTTGCTCACCGTCGCCCGTACATATTTTGTTTTGATTTTATTTGAACGTGGAATGTTTAATTCAATTCAAATCTTTAGTTTTTCGATTAAGTGAAATAAATTAAAGTTTATGATGAAGACACAAATCGATTTCGTAATCGATATGACTCGCTTCTTGACCGTAACTGGGTTACATGTACCATAAATCATAATACTGTTAACGAGTAAAACTCGCACATTTTTATAATGTGCTGTGATTTTGTGTTTTAGTATCGATGTTTTAGTATCGAATTGTCGGTTACAATTGACTGAGATCAAAAACATGTTTGTAATAAATAAATAAAAGAAAAACGTAGCTCTATTGAGAAAAAAGTTACAATTGTTTAATGCTTATCGAAATAGATTTCATTTATTACTGGTGGTAGGACCTCTTGTGAGTCCGCACGAGTAGGTACCACCACCCCGCCTATTTCTGCCGTGAAGCAGTAATGCGTTTCGGTTTGAAGGGTGGGACAGCCGTTGTAACTATACTTGAGACCTACTATGGGCTCCAGTAACCACTTAACACCAGGTGGGCTGTGAGCTTGTCCACACATCAAAGCTATAAACATTTTTTTAATCAAATGCATCCCAAAAACGTTTTAAAGTAGTACTGATTCTAAATTATTATTTTCTAACAAGTATTGCCTCATTACCTCTTTAAGTTAAAAAAATTAAAGAAAAAGACGACGACACAGCGAATAATTAAATAATATGAAACGTTCCACAGATAAATAATAAAATCAGCAAAAAAAACAAAACCTTACGGTACACGGTCCGCGTGTTACAGAAAAACCTCGTTAGTGCAAAACGAGTAATGAGTCAGGCTGTACGTCACAGCTGTAGGATGGCTAGTTTGCGTAACTGACCTACATGAATGCAGTGCCGTTGCACCCCCTACATGTCTATAACTGGATTATAGGCTCCGGAGCGTTGACATGCAAAATAAATGAGTCGAACACCATGAGGTTCTTTGTGAAGCGGAGGCTAGTATATCGATTGATTTATGTACTTCGAGCTTTGATAAATTGTTTTTGTTTTACAGTGCCGTACATTTAATGACGTCGTTTTTTTTTTTTTTTTTTTTTCCACAGGAGAAAATCGCCGGATCCCCACCCGCGCGGCAGGTGGGGTATGTGGGAGTTGAACCTCACTAAAAACTCCTGCCGCTCACAACCGGCGCCCTACCTCGGACCGGGCCGGAGCCCAGTCGGGGCTATTGAAACGGCGGGACAGGGTTGACGCAGAGCACATTACATCCATCCCACCGTCCCACGGACGCCGGACCGGTGGCCGCCAGCGAAACGACCACCGGTTCCCTCGTTCAGCGGGCCGAGAGCCCGCTTTGATGGCGCCGCGTTACACCTTCCCCCAGAGCGGTCGGGGGAACGCGGTCTACCATCACCCGGCTTCCTATTGCGGGTGAGCGTGCAGAGCACGCCACCCCTCGTCTGGGTCCCTCCCCGCACAAAACGGGTGGGACCCCTAGCTCTTAGGGGGCCAGGTCACGGATACGACCCCGGTCCCGACCCCCTGCTCGGCGGCGGCGGGTTTCTGCGTAGTGAGGAGAGCTTTCCCTCACTCGCCCCGCCGCCTCCTTCTGCGAGATGGTGCACTCGCAGAAGTCGAATTTAATGACGTCGTGCATAAAGTATGAGGCTTTTTGTTTTAATGCTATGTTAGAATGAATATGAGATGTCATATTTAACTAACAAAATACAAGGAAGAGTTTCGTTCCATTTTATTAACTTACTTACCCTAAAAACCGACCTCAATGGCGGTGAAAGGTTATCTAAACGTTTATCAATTAACACAATTTTAAATCAGCATATTCTTCGTTAATTTGACGAAATTGACGTCAAACCGTGTTAAGATGGGTATGTTGGGATGATTTTTTTAAATTTTATAACGGTTGACTATAGTTTTTGTGAATACGCGTTTTCAAGTCGCGTGTTCAAATATTGATTAGAATTTTATGCGCGTTATTTATACCTGTATTTGAGAGTTATCTCGAATAATTCAATACATTATCAAAATAAACGCTACTGAATAACATTTTCAACATTTATTTCAAGGCAAAAGGCATTCATTACTTTTAAAAGTCCTTTCACCATAATACGTGTTAAACATATTTTACACCCAGATTCAAGTTTCCAACCCAGTCTCGGGGTAAACAGAGGCATCCAGTTTTTTAGAGTAAATTTTATATCTAGTAAACTGAGATGTTTCATTTAAAAGACATTTGATTTTTAATCTGATTTTATAATGATTTTTATAATTTTAAGAAATTCTTACCTTGATTAAGCAGTATATAGACTTTGAGGCAGACGTATTCCTCCATTCGGAGCTGTATGCGACGGAAAACACAGGTTATCTGCGTCATCTTTTCCACGACAAGTCCTACATCCAATCGCAACTGCTCCAGCGTAATGGGCCTGCCCATAAGTGACGTCAAGCAATTCTGCAATGTCCGGAGGTTGGCGTTTACCTGATTAAAAAAAATATTTAAAAATATTTGCAAAACATTCCATTTTCAAGTTTCTTAAAAAATCCATATCGGATCGGATCTAATTTTTATTTTATTAAAGAAGGTTTTGTAACAATAATTGTTTGAAATAATTGTGTTGTTCTACCTCGATTTTAATTTAGATCTCAAATGATTACATCAATTCACTTAAAACTGACGAGTAATTTAGATTCAATAGATAATTCTGATGTACAATTTTACGTAATACTAAAATGTATGTATGTTAGTGAGAAGGAAATGCTCTAGACAATGAAAAATGCTTCAGTGTAACTACCGTTATTACCGCACAGACGTTTACGTAAGTAATGCAATTCGCTGTTCGATATTTTATTGTAAAATTTCATTCAAATCGTTTTTTTCCTCGCTGCGATAGTGCGTAATGAAACTTTAGATTTATTATTGTGATCTTGTGACGAGATAAATGGAGGTGTATGTACTTTATCGCTATCTTAAATGAAATTGCAACAAGCATTTGAGTCTTTATTGGGTACTTGCCTAACCAACTTAATGTGATATCGACAATAGAAACATTAGGTCCATTGAATTATTTTATGACTCTAGTAAAGCCGACTTAGCAGTGAACGTGTAGTCTAAGCCGGTGACTTTCTACGGCGGTTGCGCAAGAAACGATGCAGATCACGTAACTGCATCGAGCTGCATGTGGCGGAAGTCTGGAGCTGGTATGGCCCACCAGTTATCCACAACAGACGTTCTTACTTTCTCTTTCGGCCTTCTAACAGTAAAATATTGTAATAGCCAAGAGAGACAAGAACTAACTCACCTCTTGCATAAAGTCCTGTTCGTGATCTGACGAGGGAGGAGCGTGGGTCTGCTTTCCGTGCATCGCTTGATACGCCGCCGTCGTTAATACTGAGATCTCATGCCACTTTTCCATTAATAATTTTGAGTGTATTTCCATAGGGATTTCCATAATGAACGGTAGTTTTTTCGTCCACGCGACCATTTTGTGCACGATGGAGTCACCGATCTTACACAATTTGTCGCTTATTTCCGAAGTGTCATGAAGCAAGTCAGGGAGGTGTCGTACTGTCGCAATGTCTTCCATAGCGTCACAGTCAATCAGAGCGCGAATCATGTGCAGCGCCCTGTCCAAAGGGACGGCTCGATCTCGTGACGACGACACGGCACTTTCAAGCCTTGCTCTCAAATGAACAACCTGCAATGACCACCTTTAACTTAATTCCTTTGCAATGTTTGCTATGACTTCAAAAAAAGAAACTCAAAGTGAACTTACCTCGCTGGGATTTGTTAGTGCAGTCTTAAGTATGGTACCATTGACCAAATGCGGTGGGAGTGGGGGTAAGGGTTCTTTAGGTTTTTCTGGTGGCGAAGCTCGACTTGTAGCCGTAGCTGTTTTGTTGGCTTTCTTGTTCTTCTTATATTTCACTTTGTATAAATTGTAAACAGCTCCACTGTTCCTCCCACCAGGCATCCTGTCCTCTCGTACAGCTGTAAGAAATTACATTTAGAAAAATCCTGACAGCTTCTCCAATATTTTTATGAAATTTATATTATTTACGTACCTTGTAGAACCATTCCTTGTTCAATACATTTTTTGAATCTACAATACTGGCATCTATTTCTTTGTGCCTTTGTAATTTCACAGCCACCGTCAGCGACGCACGTGTAAACCCTTCTGTTTTGGACAGTTCGTTTGAAAAATCCCTTACAGCCTTCACAAGTAATTATGCCGTAATGCAGTCCAGTCGCTTTGTCTTCGCAAATCATGCATATCATTGGTTGTTCGTCTTCATCGCGTTCAGTCTCTGGTGCATATGTACGCAGTTCTGGTCTGGGTAACGCTAAGGAACTAGCACCTGCCATTGGAGAAGAACCCGCGATGCTTCCGGCAGCGGCGCTCAGATTTAACGCATGAATTTGTTGGTGAGCAGGGAGCTGGGACACGTCTCCGGCCCAGAGTAGTTCCATGTTCAATGGTGGCCCTCTAGGTCGTCGTAACTCGCCACCTAAATTGAGTAATAGCCTCGCTGCTGACTCCTCACTGCATGAAGCTGGATCAGGAGAAGGCGTGGATGAAGTATGCGAAGCACTGGCTGCAGGCTCACTACTTGAACTAGGCGCTGGTAAGGTCCAGAACATTGTTCGGACACCTCCGGATTCGCCCATTATAACAGCAGGAGTACCTCTCCATTGTGTTTGTCCACGCGCACCTGGTTTATTTTCAATCGGCTGTGGTGGAAAATTTCCGCCTATAAGTTCAGGTTTAACACCATTTATACAAGCGGCCGGCGGCCAATGTCCTGGTGATAGATTAGCGTGAACTCCAGGCGGAGGCGGTACGAGGGTACGTGGTCTGAACGGTTGTGGTGATTCTTGCGGTGCGCTTTCCAACTTCACTGAAGACAACTGAGACTGCGTTGTGGGCTGGTTTTTTCCACTCGCAGGCGAACTTTCTGCTTTGACAGCGGATTGTGCACCTTCAAACTTGATGACTGAGTAGGGTGGCGCCGAGCGTATAACGGTGGGATGGCAAGCGGGTGAAGGTGACGGAGAGCCACCGCCATCGAACACGGGCGGCGGGTGCGGCGGCGTGCTGCACCCGGCTTCAGACATACGCGGCGAAGGCGGTCCTGGGTCAGGTGACGAAGTGCTGGTGTCGGCCGCCGACTCGCCTGGGAACAAACACGATCGTTCAACAATAGCTACAGCATTTTGTCTGCACGCCAACGAAAAACAACACCATAGATTTTTAGAAGCAACAAATAGAAACTAGGTGAAATGTCAACGACCGTGCGGCGTGATCATAGTTAGAAGGCGCGGAGCGACGCAGGGACCCGACACTGCACTTCCCGACGTCGCCGACTAGATTAGTTGATTGCGTCATAATGTAAGCCATCGGGGGACATAGATAAATTATCTTTTAATTTAAATAGAAACCATGAAACGTACATATAATATTAGCGAATGATAATATTAGCGAGAGATGATGAATTTAGTTTTACGTATAGGTTCAATCGAATTTAAAGTTGACGTACAGGATTTTGATTTCACAATTAGGAAACTTAGATAAATTAGGAAAATCAGGAAACGTTTGTGGTGTTCGCGGCGGGTACGATGAGATGTAACAGCGCGACGGACAAGGGGAAAGTGAAAGCTAGCGGCGCGGCGCGAGCGCAGATGCCGAGCCCGGAAGCGTTGTGCCTACGCTCTGTGCCGACTTCACAAAAGGGCTCTACGTCATCCGCTCACGACTGCATTGCCGTTATAATAATTACAGTTACCATGTATTAACATATCCACTATATAATTTCGAGTATTTACATACATTCGGAGAATTATCAAAGCGCAAGAATTTATAACATGAAATTTAAACACTTTATTAATATTTTCGAAAATTACTTCAGAACTGTGGAAATCTCGCTGCCTCGTACGTTTCGATGGAAATAGAATACACGTAACAGAAAATCATAAACATTACCAACTTTTTATGACAAGATCCATAGGCGTAGTTTTAACTTCGTACGCGACCCGGCTTACATCGCACGACCATCCATATATTAAAATGTAACATTAGAATTTTTTGGAATCACATTATTGTTCACCGGGTTTTTATTGTTCAATATTGCACCCAACTATAATTTGAATGCGGAGCAATGATTAAGAGAATCATGTGAGACCGGCGTGCGCGTACCGGTCTCGGCGCTCACGTGCGAATATCAGTAGAGTTTTAGGCGAGGAAAAGTCACGAAGAAAGTTTTCCAGAGCGTGTTGCCGCGGCGGCGGGCGGCGGGCGCGCGCTATGAGCCCGACCTACCGCACGAGCGGCTGCGGCCCGCTCCCCGCGCTGCGCTTCCCGGTCCCTCCCTCCAGCCGCTATTAGGTCACTCAGGCGGCCGTGCGTGCGAACTGCAACCGCACAATGACTAGTGCAACGCGTGCACCGCTCTCGCTTCGAGGACGATCTCTATTTCACTTCGCGTCCTTTGCCACATCATTGGTGGGGACCGATCTTTCTAGCCGCGTGATGCAATCGTCGCCCGCAGAGGTTTTACGTAGGTTCGTACGAACCTAGATAAGTCACCATTCGATAGAGTACTTGATACTTGTCGATAGCACGGTGTCTATTACGAGTTTGAAATTGTCACGAGGAAAATCGGATCTTTACTCGAAACTAGCAATGTATCGATATAAGTACGTACAGAGTATTGCACGAACACGTGTTTATAAAGAGTACATACAGATTGTATAGGAGATGAGCGATAAAAGCCGTAGTGCGGTAAACAGACAACAATAAAGACGATTACGCAACTTGCAACACTTTTATTTCGGGGCGGATGATCACAATCGTATATTCGATCGTTGCAAGCCCGAAGGTCGGCCGCGGTCACCGACACACGGGAAAGTAGGTCACACCCCTACCACTGGTGTCGCCCCACCACCCCCCTAAGCATCGCGACGCCACGTGTCGTTGCGCCCGGCTACATTTCGCATTATTTTTTCGTAGTTTTGCGCCCAACAACAACCAACTCCTCAAACGATTTGATTTTTAGTTTCAAAATTTGTAAATCGATAACTGTTGTTTGATTAAGATTATTTTACTAAATATATAATGAAATGAAAATAATAAAAAAGTGGTTAAGCTGTACAGCAGTTTTGATTATGTCTATGATTCGCGAAGACGAAGAAAATACAATTTTTTTTGTCTTATTTGTTTAAATCGATTGGCTGTTTGAATCAAACACACCACACAAATATATTAGGGGCGATTTTCGTTTAATTTAACGCAAATAAGACCGAGTTAGAATAATCGAGATTCAATAGTAAATGTAGCCGTATAGTAGGTAATTTGTTTACGTGTAGAGCTCGCTATCGGGAGGCCTTCGACGTTATGAGTACATCGACTTTAATAATATTTGTTCACTATTTTTCACCGTTCGTTCGTATATTTCAATTTATCGAACCGACGTCAAACTACACCTCGTATATCAAGCATCAGCTCGTTTGCTGTAAAATGAATTCCATGTGTGCATGAAAATTTTGATGCTTCCAATTTAAAACACACATGCAGCTAATTTGAATTCGACTGATTTAAATAAATAAAAAGATTTTTGCTATCACAAGGTTGTGTGTCTATAATACTGTCATTTGAAAATCTACAAACGTTTTAACATTGACAAGTATTTTTTAAATGGATTCAAACAGTATTGCTATTCAACCATTAAATAAAATTTGTTTACCTAACTAAGTGCAATGTATAAATTAATTCTATTATATAAAGTAAAATAGAACGGTTGCGTCTGTATGCTGCACAAATTTTATGGTATTTAGGTGTAACTAAGAACAAATCACTGATTGAACTTCAATGACGGGACCTAGATTTTCCTGAAAGAAACATTCCCTTATCACCAATTACGAATGGTACTAAGTTATGTCCCACACACACGAAACAGCTGCCTTTATTGATCTTAGCCCACTGAGTTTCTCGCCGAATCTTCTCAGTGGGTCGCGTTTCCGATCCAGTGGTAGATTCTGCGAAGCACTGCCCTTGCTAGGACCAGTGTTAGAAACAACACTTCCGGTTTTAGTCCCGTGAGCTCACCTACACGCGTTAGGACGAAGTTGAAATAGCCTTTCAAGGCTATCAGCATATGTAGGAAAATAATAATAATTAATCTACCACACAATTTCCTTCATATTTTCTACGCGGTACGCATCTAATTACTCTTTAAAATTAGATCTTACACGTTCCGTGCTTTAATTTCGCGTTCATTTTACATAAAAAAAATCTTAATTGCATAAAGATCTATCATTATAGTACAGCGAGGTCCGGGTTGTATTCCCAGTTGGACTTAATAGTTGGTATGCTGGTTTTTTTCGGTAGGAATTCTTGCATCTTATGTCTCTGGCATTAAAAAGAAGAATATCCTGCCTTGATTCGTTGAATCTTAAAAGTTTTTAATATAAATTAATTCAAGGGGCCAAGCTAATGGCATAGAACATTCTCTACCAGCGAACTCTGATGCATAGTGGATATTTTTTATGTTACTGCTTGTAAGTTAATAATTGAATAACCTGTTTTTTTTATAAACGACTATCGTAGAGGGGAAGGGGGCTCTGTACCTATATAATAGATAGGCAGGTAGCGGTATTAGCTTTGAGCTGCATTTTGAAGTCGTCGTGGCCTAAAGGATAACACGCCCGGTGCATTCGCGATGGAACGATGTTCGAATCCCGCGGGCGGGTACCAATTTTTCTGATACGTACTTAACAAATGTTCACGATTGACTTCTACGGTGAAAGAATAACATCGTGTAATAAAAATCAAACTCGCAAAATTATAATTTGCGTATATACTGGTGGTAAGACCTCTTGTGAGTCAGCACGGGTAGGTACCACCACCCTGCTTATTTCTGCCGTGAAACAGTAATGCGTTTCAGTTTGAAGGGCGGGGCAGCCGTTGTAACTATACTGAAACCTTAGAACTCATATCTCAAGGTGGATGGCGGCTTTTACGTTATAGATGGCTGTGGGCTCCAGTAACCACTTAAAAATAGGTGGGCTGTGAGCTCGCCCACCCATCTAAGCAATAAAAAAAAGCTTGTTGGGTGTGAGCTCGTCCACACATCTGTGCAATAAAAATAAAAAAGAACCCTTTACCCGTCTTAGTAGTACTAGGCGTAGTAAAACTACTTTTACGGTTTTCATCTCGAGTTTTTTACTGTCATCATACGATTTTGAACGTTTCGAATCCTTTATACTCGTAGCCTTTGCAGTCACGGATGTCCGTAATATAATGAATGACAATAAAAAACGAGAAATTAAATCGCAAAAAGAGATTTAATTAGGCCGTCTTAACTTAATTAAGACTTAAAATTAGGTCGGCTGTGACATCGGTCGCCTATTTACGCTAATAATTCACGCAAAAAATCCGAGTGTATCCTAGTAAATTACAATCAATAGTCGGAGTTACGCGTCACACTGACGGCGAGACGGGCGGGCGCGTCGCTACGCGTCACGCGACCCGCTTCGTCACACCCCCTGCTTGCGTTGCAATGCGAAATTTCGTGTACGCTACGTTATCTAGATTTATTATCGAAAATCTGATCGGAGCCAAAATAGAATCGCTATTTTTGTTTCGGACGCACTATGAATTTAAGACGATTAGGACATCACTAACTCTGTAGCTACTGCTTTTAAATTTCTTTTGTCGCGTAAAGAAGAGTATTATGATATTCGAGATGGTTCTCAATAAGGACACTGATCTCTAGAAAACTATTTAGAAAACACTGATCAAGAATCATACGTGTCCATTTCACTGGTGGTAGGACCTAGGTGGGGCAGCCGTTGTAACTATACTGAGACCTTAGAACTTATATCTCAAGATGGGTGGCGCATTTACGTTGTAGATGTCTATGGGCTCCAGTAACCACGTAACATCAGGTGGGCTGTGAGCTCGTCCATACAACTAAGGAATAAAAAAATAACAAAAATGATGTCGTATTTGCTTTTGTGACGAAAATTTGCGACAGATATTTTTTCAGTTGCACAAAGCAGACCACTCGGCGGTTAGCAATGGCTTGTCTGTGTCCCTGAGGCATTACGTCGCTCGTATGCCTTCAATCAGAAAATATTTTCACGTTTTGAAACATATTAAATGTAATATTATTTAGCTACAAAACCATGTAGAAACTCAAACGTGGTAACCGCAAATTATGTTTAATTAATTAAAAACAAAAAAAAAAGTATTTTCTGTTCATTAAATCAAATTACGATTCCCTTTTAAAACGGGCTTTAATATTTGTTGTTGTCGTTTTAAGACAGCAGTAACATTACGTTTGATGACAGTGAATAATAATCTTTCTCTTATGTGTTATTCATGAGAGTACAATAGCGATGATTACAACGTGACTATTACTTTCACCTATCCGCTTGGTTCACGTAAACTTTCTTTGCTCTGACTTCACTGCGCACGTCACAGTTACGCAATCCTAAATGGCGAGACGTTATTTTTGCTATAACATTCAAGTTCAGTTAATGTATTTTGGGTAAACTAACTATGAACTCACTTAGGGTTAATAAGCTTGCCGAACTGTCTCGCATAAAGGTAACAAGGGAACGGGGACACATAGGAAACAATATGTGAGGTTTTATAAAAATAATTTGTAATTTTATTCGAAACTAGCTGACCCGGCAGACTTCGTAGTGCCTCAATCGATAAATAAAAGACACATCAAGGGGACACATCAAAGGAAAAACAAAATTGTTTGTTTTTATATAATTCAGAGCTTTTTTTTATATTTTCTCACCTTTTAAACCTTCCCTGGACTTCCACGAATAATTCAAGACCAATATTAGCCAAATCGGTCCAGCCGTTCTCGAGTTTTAGCGAGACTAACGAACAGCAATTCATTTTTATATATAGAGATAACCTTTTTTAGACTGCATTTAAAAGCTTTATCAAATTATACTAGCAGTAGCTATGTGAGCACGCACGGATCGGTACTACCGTTCTGCGTAATTCCACAGCAAAGCAACCATCTGTTACGGTTTGCATTTATTTACATTGAGCGAACTCATGTCTAATTCGAGATATTTATGTAATAATCTATGTATTATTCTGTATGTCAATATTTCTTAGTATATAATTATATCCTAGCCTTCGACCAGATGACCATGTGTGATTAGTCATGTGTTTTTAGTTGTGGTAGGACCTCCTGTGAGTCCGCGCGGGTGGGTACCACCGCCCTGCCCATTTCTGCCGTGCCAGTAAAGCGTTTCGGTTTGAAGGGTGGGGCAGCCGTTGTAACTATACTTGAGACCTTAGAACTTATATCTCAAGGTGGGTGGCGCATTTACGTTGTGGATGTCTATGGGCTCCAGTAACCACTTAACATCAGGTGGGCTGTGAGCTCGTCCACCCATCTAAACAATAAAAAAAATAAAAAAAAGTCTCTAATTAATTTTTATGGACTGCGCCAACAGCTTATCAATATGTAGCCCAAAAACGTTCACAGTCTTCTTGAAGTGTATAACCGGATCTCGTCTCGGTAGATTCTCATTTTAAAGAGCAAGTGAAAGTAATATTGTAATCTCGCGATGTTTGTATTCGGATGTTTTAATCTCAATGGACGAGCAACAAAAATGTTTATCACTTTATAATACAATTTTACGTTATGTAATGAATTATTATTGTTTATTTTTATATTAGCCAACTCGAATCAACAAGTCACGTGGATGCCGTTGCCACTTTGAGAAATTAGGTGGAAGTCTGTGCTACAGTACGATTATATTTAAAAAAAAACGAAATAAACATGGCGTCAACACAGTAATGTGGTCGAAGTAAATAAATAAAAAAACACGTACGAATGAAAATGAAATTACTAGCTACCAAAGCTACGTAGTCGAAAGTGATATCGTTCGTGGGTTGGTTCATAATGACTACTCGTAGCATCTCGAAACAAAACACGAATGACAAACGAGTTTTGACCTTATAAAATACAAGTTAACGTTCGAAATTCGCGCAAGTTTCGAGGACAACGTACGGAGAATATTGGTGTTTATTTTGGTTAGTACATTTTTTTTTTATTTTTTTTTTATTGCATAGATGGGTGGACGAGCTCACATCCCACCTGATGTTAAGTGGTTACTGGAGCCCATAGACATCTACAACGTAGACGCGCCACCCACCTTGAGATACAAGTTCTAAAGTCTCAGTATAGTTACAACGGTTGCCCCACCCTTCAAACCGAAACGCATCAGCTTCACGGCAGAAATAAGCAGGGCGGTGGTACCTATCCGCGCGGACTCACAAGTGGTCCACCACCAAGTGGACTCACCAGTAATATATGGTATACCAAACATAATATGGTATTTGGTATATGGTATTTATTTTGTTGGAATTGTTTGATGTAGTACTTACTATATTACGTACTCTTCTTGAGTTTAATAGGTGTGAAATTAACAAATACAATTTAAAAAAAAATCTTGACAAAAAAAGTTCATGCCGCTTCACATCTTGGGTTTATTTATTTATTTTTTCCACAGGAGAAAATCGCCGGATCCGTGGGGTATGTGGGAGTTGAACCTCACTAAAAACTCCTGCCGCTCACAGCCGGCGCCCTACCCCGGACCGGGTGGGAACCCAGTCGGAGCTATTGAGACGGCGGGACAGGGTTTACGCAGAGCATATTACATCCATCCCGCCGTCCCTCACATCTTGGGTTAATAAATTCTTTTACTACTTTAAAGAAGGAGAAATTCTAATATTTTCGCATTTATAGCATCCCGATTGCACGTAAAATATCAATACTTAATACCATGAAAACTATTGTTTTGGTATTAAACATCATGGCAAAGGTATTTAGGTTAAATGCATTACCATACACATGATGCGCTTTGACGCAGCTGAGACATAGAAAACCGAAGATCAAGGTAAGGGTCAATTCATTTGCAATCAGAACACGTTCGTCTCCCGAGTAAGAAGAGAATATAATGTTTTCCTTGACTTAATCAATAAGACGAACCGACATCGAAGTTTAAACCTACACACTCTTTAAGTACTGTTGAAGTTTTGTATAGTTTTATATATTTATAGTATGTGTTGTGTATTGTTAGAAAATCAAATTAGAACAGCAATGCAGTTTTTATTCTGAAATTATCGTTGAAAACTAAAGTTCAGTTTGTTCTGATAGTGCTTTGCGTAAAACCATTTTTACCACCTAGTCCTACGGTGTATACAATTTTTTTTCTAAATAAACTCATGCGTAACTGCTCACTAATATATCCATGTACATACGTACATACGTATTTGTATATTAATCCCTAAAACATATTGTATGTATGTAAAGTCTATGTATAAAATGTAAATATTACAATGTATGTTTTACGGTGTAAAATATATCGTGTAGTAAAAAAATAAAACTTTCAACTTTCATAATTAGTAGTAGTTGTACAATGAGCCCGCACGGGTGGCAATTATGTTATACCTATATTTATTTGAAGTAAACAGTTTTTAAGTTACTTATCTAGTATAGCTATTAGCTATATATATGTATATGTATATTTGTAGGGGTGACGCGGCGGGACAGGAAATATCATAGTGACTTTAACCTTCGAAATGGGTTACATTTTGATCTGTCGGTTATCGGTTAATACCATATGGACTATTATAGACCAGGAGAACGCGTGCCATTTTAGCATCGAAAAATAGTCTTAGATAAACTTCTCTAACGGAAGATGCAGAAAAAATTTATATCGCCTTCATATATTGACACTATTTTTTAGAGATTCCTTTTTTAGTGTACCTAAAAATAATATTTCCAGCACATAAATATATATTCAATGAAACTCACCATCGCTGCTACATCTGGAGTCAACTTTCCGCCTCTTTAGTTTGAGGTCTTGAAATAGACTCATGTTGTCGAGGTCACACGGCCCGCGGCTAAGTGTCATTATTCCTGTAAACAAAGAAAAAAATAATTAATTAATGATTCATTAAGAAGGTTCTTTTCCCAGTCGTACACTCCTGGCGGAGTGGTCGTGGTTACGTATGTCTTAATGTTTGGTTGCGGCTTTTGACAGACTTCTCCATCTAGGTACATTAACATTAATCATAAATTGCTGTTGTTTTAGTTGTTTAATGTTTTGCTGTTCTACGTAATGTCGTTTATTGAGTTTTTTGTAATTACATTGATTGAACTAACGTGCCCACGATCTATGTGCTGTTAAGCTATTATCGTTGCTAGTACGAAGAAAATACGCTTCTTTGTTGTACTTGTCTTGATTCACGTTGGTTTTTTTTTTGTAAAACTTTCACGCAATTTTAACGTTTTTAAAACATTACTCATTCAATCTGTATTGCTTTTTAAATGAACACCGCCAAAGCAAGGTATAAAATTCCATATTTTTTTTTCCATATTTTAATTGAATATCGTTCTCATGACTATGATTCGCTGAACAAAAAGCACGACCAAATGTGTTTATACAATAATTAATATAATTAAGGCTATTGAGCTGTTTAAAGACGTTTCCTTAGGTTTTGGGAAGTCGAAGATATGAATAAATTAGGTTTACGGTTGGAATTGGCGCTAATTATTTTATATTTACTTTTGACGTTTTGAAAACCTTGCAATGTGACAAGCACAGATAAAATAAACTACGGTTTAGTTTTATCAATAATAATGTAACTATATAGGCCGGTTCTTAAACGCGGTAAATACTCGTAAGCTTTCAGAAAAAAATAAATCCCCAGTAAGTCTCGAACCTGTCCCCATCGCATGAGACGCCATTGACATACCTCTGGCCCACAAGTGCAGCTGACCTAATTTATTGACTATTAACATTCGATTATGTTATCATGCATGGTAACATATGGTATCTATGTATTTTTTGAACATAGATAGTGGTATCCTTACGGGAGTCCGATGACATATCCACGCGTTTGACGCAGAAAACACCAGAAACCACAGAACAGCGAACTTGCATTTTTGATTAATTACGGTAATAAAAGCAAATAAACGTTAAACACCAATTGAATCACAGAACGCGTTGTGAAGATTTTAAATTATTTTGAATTTCTATGCGGGTTTCATTAAAAAATTATTACGTCAATGTTGAAACTGTCAATTTATTCAGATCACGGATAAGCCGTAATCAATTAATTGCAAGAATTCATTTTCAAGAATATCAATTAAAAATTACGGAATACACTCTTCAATGTCATTGTCAAAGCGACGCGACACGTAAACTATGCTAGAACTAATGCAGTCCCAGTGTTTTATTCTAGCATCAAATGAAACTACGTATAGTGTTTTTATTACTATCGATAACGTGGTTCCATAGAGTAACTCACCAACAAGATGTTTACTGCTAAATAAAAATATAACTAAACTCATAAAAGCAATGGAACTATATATTTGTTTTTAAATATATGATAAATAAACTATATACATATCACTACATAGTATAAAACAAAGTCGCTTTCTCTGTCCCTATGTATGCTTAAATCTTTAAACCTACGCAACGAATTTTGTGCGGTTTTTTTAATAGATAGAATGATTGAAAAGGAAGGTTGATATGTACAATAACATCCATTAAATAGTGGAGAAATCAATAATAAATTACAGTTTCCGAAGCGAAGCGAGGGCGGGTCGCTAGTATAACTATATACGATAGATAAATAAACACTTAATAAAAGCTTTATTAACATTATTCCTAAATAAGCTTTTTTCGTACCTAATCGCTGGAAGCCTAAAGGGCTATTCCAGCTACTCTCGCATCGGTAGCTGAGCTTACGGGCTCAACTAAAAAGAATTTATAACACTGGCCCTAGCAAGAGCAGTGCTTCGCTGAAACGGTGATCGGTGTTTCGAGAGCTTAAAAGCACCGAGACTGGATCGGGAGGATCCGACAAGACATACTTTGGGCGACCGCGGATTTGCGTTGCCCAGTCGTCTGAGTCGGATACGTATGTAGTTAGAGACAGCCACGATAACAGTAAATTTACGCTTCGATTTGTTTGAATGAAAACTATAAAAATCAAAAGATATTAACGGTAAGCTCAAATCGAAATGTGTATTTCAGTGAAATTCCATTGTTTACTGAAGAGGTTGACGAACTCGGACAGTTTTAGATCGACAAAACGAAGCCGTCTTAATGTTGTAGTATAAAAACGATAAGTGTGATTCAGTTAATTATACTATATTATTTTCGTCGAACGTTTATTTTTTTTTTTTTGTTGGCAGAGCTACAGTATTTTTTTATAAGCTGACGTATAATTTGAGACAATGCCCATGAAAAATAATGGGTCATGGGCATCAACATTATAAAACATTGAAGTTATTTTTATTACTGTCCATTTATTATTGTGAGTCCACACGGGTGCGTTCCAACATATTTCGTCTGCGAAACAATAATTATATTCTTTTTTTTTTTTTATTGCCCTTGTAGGCAGACGAGCATACGGCCCACCTGATGGTGAGTGGTTACCGTCGCCCATGGACTTCAGCAATGCCAGGGGCAGAGCCAAGCCGCTGCCTACCGCAAATCCTATTTAAACGACGAAACCGCGGTAGTAAAATAAAATTGAGACATCGAATAAATATCGACATCAACTGGTGGTAGGACCTCTTGTCAGTCCGCGCGGGTAGATACCACCACCCTGCCTATTTCTGCCGTGAAGCAGTATAATGCGTTTCGGTTTGAAGGGTAGGGCAGCCGTTGTAACGTGGTTGTAACTATACTTGAGACCTTAGAACTTATATCTCGAGGTGGGTGGCGCATTTACGTTGTAAATGTCTATGGGCTCCAGTAACCACTTAACACCAGGTGGGCTGTGAGCTCGTCCACCCGTCTAAGCAATAAAAATATATATACATATATATCTCGGAAAGCGAATGACAGTAAATACATTGGAGTCTCCGGTAAGCTTAATGACAGGTGATCCAAAATCGGTAACGGTCGAATAGGGTAAGAAAACCATTCGTGAGATAGTACTTAATTATACAACGGTCATTGTGGCGAACCTTGGGGGAGGTCTATGTCTAGCAGTGAACGTGAGTGGGATGAAAAAAAAACACAAAAATTCGAATAGTATTTTTCTCGTCTTGACGTAAACGAAACTTAAGATTAGAAGTGAACGATCGCGTGTAGGTACTCTGATAAGAAAACTATTAAAAAAAAATTATAAGAATGCACAGATTTACGTAACTGCAAACACGTATGAATACGGGATTCATAATAAACTACGTATTATCATACGTACTATGACGTGGATCGGGGAGAGGAATTCTCGTAAAAATATTCATAGCCTATGTTTTGATAAGGACTGAGTCATGAAATACGTCAACGTAAAGACGAATGATAAATTAGTATCGGCTATTTCGGTGTTTCTAAAATACAATAATATCTTACGATTTGAATTTTTATCGCATATTTTTTTTTATCAAACTAGCTTTCCGTCTGTTGCTTCATCCGCGTGGGCGGAAACCCTTGTTCAACAGTGGGGTGGACTGAACTACATTTGTGTTCATAATATTAGTAAGGATTCTGAGGCTTATATATATACATTTAAATGACGGAAAATACTTTTTGCTACTCGTGGACTTCACTAACGTAAAGGGCATAGCCAATTATGAAATATGTATAACCTTTCACACTCAACGGACCAGATCTAGGATTTTCTCCTGAGTGTTTGTGTACTAGAAGTATACGTGCCCAGCACTCAATGTTGTAATTAAGGTCATTGTACCCCAAACCACTCATGCACACGACAATAACATAACAAAGTTTTTGAATTAGTAAGTATTTTGTATCAATAAAAAAATACATAGGAATAGCATTTTTAAAGTAATTTGACTACGAGGATCTGAGGTAAAGGTTTATTTTCGAAAGGGATTTTTTGCCCAAAATAATTTAGGAATCCCTGTCCTAAATGAACGCGGCGTTCGAATGCGTAAATATGAATATGAATGTCTATGAATTTAATAGACATAAATAATGAAAGTATGAATAGTTTTATTTTTTGTTTTCATATAATGGATAGGAACGTATTTTGGATGACCGATAGCAAGATAATATGTACAGCAGCTCCCTTAAATAATAGCAGACCAAACTCACCTCTAAGGTCAAGCATCGGAACAAATAACAGTACAAACAAGAAACGTTATCTAATTATGTTTTGCAAACATTATAGAAACTTTGTAACGAACATGAATTACTAAACAAATACCACGGAATCGTCAGTTGAATAACTTGTAATTCGCGTTTAAGTGCAACGTTCGATACTATTTTGTCAATAAAGAGATAAACGAACTCTAGAATGTCCCCAAAATAAACCAGAATGAGTCAAAGACCTTGATAGTGACGTGTAAGAGTGAGTTAATTGATTGGCGAGTGAACGAATATACTTACGAATACTGTTTTGAGGGAGGTCGTGCGATTGACTAGACTTCCGTGAACAGTGGAAACTTAAAATCGATTTGCATCTGCGGGGTACAATTCGATGACGTTCAATATCTATATAATATCGATATTTAAATATGTGCAGTACGTGTTTCGGAATTTAGTACTAATCGTTGAGAGATTTTTAATTTGGAACCAGATGACCATAATAATGATTCCAGATTATTTTTTGTTTATGTGCGACATAGTCTAGAGGAAATTCTTGCTTATTAATTCAGTTTTAACGTAAAACCATGTTGCTAACTAAGCATATTAAAATGTATGTATTCACCATAATCTGTAAGTGCTGCGTGGGTTTTTGTATAGGAAACATATTCGTTCGTCTATTGAACATTTTGAATTTCCAGGAATTTTTTTAATTGTTGTTTACAAACAATAAAAAAACTTGTAATATAACGTTTTTAATTAAAGTGACGAAGATGAACTTGAACGATACGGACAGGTGTCTGAGACGTCATACGGAAGCAGTCGTCAGCACGTCCGCACCCAGGGTCGGTCACTTC